CAACCTGTCCTGGTGCAGGGGGTTATTTCTCCCCAGGTGCAGCACCCTAAACTTACCTTTATTGAAGTTCATCAGGTTCCTCTCTGCCCAGCTCTCCAGCCTGTCCAGGTCTCTCTGGATGGCAGCACAGCCCTCCAGGGTGTCAACGACCCCTCCCAGTTTTGTATCATCAGCAAACTTGCTGAGGGTACACTCCATCCCCTTGTCCAGGTCACTGATGAATATATTGAAGTGGATCAGAATCAGCCCACTCCCCCTTTTAAGGGAAGTGCCATGATTCCTTGCCAGCCCATTTTCCCCATCCAAAGTAACTCCCAAGATTTCATAACCACTAAGTCACTTCTTTCTCCCCTAGTCAGGCATGCTTAAAAACTGGCAGAAAAGTAAAAGAGGGGAAACACTTGAGGTTTTGTGCTGTTATGGTTTTTTCTGGCGGGGTAAGGAAATTGAGGATAATGCTCCACATAAGTTCATAGAAACATAAAATTGTTTAGGTTGGAAAAGGCCTTTAAGATCATCAAGTCCAACCGGTCACGTAGCACTGCAAGTCCACCATTTAACCATGTCCCTCAGCACCACATCTACACGTCTTTTAAACACCTCCAGGGATGGTGACTCAACCACCTCCCTGGGCAGCCTGTTCCAATGCTTGACAACCCTTTTTTTGAAGACATTTTTTCCTAGTATCCAATCTAAACCTTCCCTGGCACAACTTGAGGCTGTTTCCTCTTGTCCTATCGCCTGTGGGAGAAGAGACCAACCCCCCACCTCGCTTCAACCTCCTAGAGAGCGACAAGGTTTCTCCCCTCAGCCTCCTTTTCTCCAGACTGAACAACTCCAGTTCCCTCAGCTACTCCTCATAAGACTTGTGCTTTAGACCCTTCCCCAGCTTTGCTGCCTTTCTCTTGACATGCAAAGTTAGAGGGTTAATGATAAAAGCCACTTAGCAGGGACACCTGGAAGACTCGCTACTGAACTGCTTGGTTTCAATACTAAATCAATATTTAAAGACTGATCTAATGTGATTTTTTTTTTCCTGTGGTGTTAAACATTTGGGACCAAAAATGCCTTTTATTTAGATCATAGAAACCAACATGAAATCTTGCTTTCTCTGTTGTTACTGGAAGAGCTTTGGAGAGCCTGGAGAAAAGGTGGCAGTGAGGCAGTTGGGCAGTGGTAAGGGGAAAGTCTGCTTTTCCCCACCTCCAAATCACAACCGGACTGTTTCAAATCCTGCCAGCCCAGAGAGGGGCTGACGCAAGGCGTTTCAGCACGAACGGCTCTCTATAGAATCATAGAATCATATGGGGTTGGAAGGGACCTCTGGAGATTATCAAGTCCAACCCCCCCACCGGAGTGGGTCTACCTAGAACACAGGATCTACCTAGCACAGGATCTTCTCCAGACGGTTTTTGAATGTCTCCAGAGAAGGAGACTCCACCACCTCCCTGGGCAGCCTCTTCCAGTGCTCTACCACTCTCACAGTAAAGAAGTTCCTCCTCATGTTTAGGTGGAACTTCTTATACTCAAGTTTGTGCCCATTTCCTCTTGTCCTGTCCCTGGGCACCACTGAAAAAAGACCAGCCCCGTCCTCCTGACACCCACCTTTTAAGTATGTATAAGCATTGATCAGATCCCCCCTCAGCCTTTGCTTCTCTAGACTAAAAAGCCCCCAGTTCCTCAGCCTCTCTTCATAAGAGAGATGCTCCAGGCCCTTAATCATCTCTGTAGCCCTCTGCTGTCCCCCCTCCAGCAGTTCCCTGTCCTTCTGGAACTGAGGGGCCCAGAACTGGACACAGTATTCCAGATGGGGCCTCACCAGGGCACCTCTATAAAGAGTTCAAGATCCGCTTGGTGTTTTAAAGCCGTGTGGCGGTGCCCCAGTCTAAACTAAATCAAGCTTAAAAAGACTCCAGAAATACACACAACAAGCCGGCCAGAAATTTTCAAGATGTTTTTCGGGTCCCACTTCCCGGCTATCAGACCCCAAACTGTCGGCATGGCTGATTTGAAAAAAAAAAAAGACAATAAAAGGCATCTTTTGGCCTCGACCGCATGAGGTATCACCCCTCGGTCTCCAGGATGTCCCAGCCGGTGGATCCCCCGGGACCTTCCCGGTGGTCACCGAACCTTCCTCTTCCTCGCGGCTCCCCCTGGTGGCTGCAGGCAGCTCTGCAGAAGGGCCGGTGCGAACCCGAACTGAGGTTCAGAGCCAGGCACTGGAAAAAAAAACAACAAAAAAAAGGAAAATAAAGAGGTTGCGGGTCACCTACCGTTTTGCCCGTGGTCAGCCACGCTGTCACTGCGGTGGTGCAGGAAGCCAGCTCTGGGTCGGAAACATCTTAGGTCCTGGATCTCAAAGAGATCTACATCCCTCTACCTAACAGAGGGTTAAACACTGCTGCCCTTTCAGCGGAGAAACTCCTGTAGGTGGTAAGTCACAGGCGCCAGGACTAGAGGAAATGGCCTCAAGTTACGCCAGGGGAGGTTCAGGCTGGATATTAGGAAAAAATGTTTCGCCAAAAGGGTTATCAGACACTGGAATGGGCTGCCCAGGGAGGGGGTTGAGGCACCATCCCTGGAGGTGTTCAAAAGACGAGTTGATGTGGAGCTGGGAGATATGGTTTAGTGATGGTGATGCTTTTTGTTTGTTGTGTGGGTGTTTATTTTTGTCAAAATTAGGTTAATGGTTGGACAAGATGATCTTTAAGGTCCCTTCCAACCTAGAAGATTCTGTGATTCTGTAAAACCAGCTAGGAATCCAATCCCTTTAAGAGCTTTTATATGCAATTTGAAGTATCTTAGATACTTCAAAGCTACATATTTTTATAGGGGATCCATTACATTCCCCAGCAAAGCGGTACTGCTGCTTCAATGAAAAATGGTTATCTGCTAGAAAGTATACAGGAACACGAATACTTTTCAGCAAGTATACCTCCAGACATCTGCTACTTCAGCATGTAAACTAGACACATTAATGAGTGCTAAAAAACACATAAATGCATTTCTATAAATAGATCTTGAGCCATATCCCAAATTATCAGTCATAACACTTAGTTTGAGATAATGAATTCCAAATCAAATTACTCCACATCAATCCTGTCATTTTTTCTGTAAATTGTTACATATTTGAGGAGGAAGCTTCTGCATATAATAATTGCGTTGAAATTAGACTTGGCGAGGGATTGCAGCAGCTGCAGAATCTCTAAGCATGGACTAAGCATGGGATCCAAGTCTTCTGAAAGATGCTTTGATTTGCCAAGACCGATACTAGTGGAACATGCTAGTGGAATAAAGGTTAGAACAAGTGGGCCACAGAGGCCAAATTCTGCTGGGTAAGTTAGTCTGGTGGTGGCTCACTGGTGCTATCACGGGTGGTAACGGCAATCTGAAGGGTAGAAGCAAGCCAGGACGTGGCAGGCAGAGAAACAGACATGAGTCGGAGGTTTGGCAGCGACCTCTGACGAGGCAGCAGGGAGACACACATTCTACACTTGGCTTAGGGATGTGAGCTCTGCTTTCCAGCCTCATAATCAAGCAAACCAGAAAGGCAACAACTAGATGAGTACGTACCTTCTGGTGAGGAAAGAACTTTAAAGTAATCTAATGAAACCTCGCCTTTGACGTCCAATAACTTCCTTTCCAATGTTTTGGACACAGACTGTAAGCGACAGCAGTGCCATGTTGTGAGCAATAACAAAGTCAAAGCATTCCTGGTAAATAAATTGCAACCATTCACTGAAAGTACCTGGCCAGGAGCTATATACAGATTAACATCACAAAGGCATGGCAGAGCAAGGCAGGGTAAAGCAAGGCAGGGCAGAGCAGGGCAGAGGAAGGCAGGGAAGGGGAAGGCAGGGCAAGGACAGGCAAGGCAGGACAAGGTAAGGCAATGGCAAGGCAAGGCTGGGCAAGGGAAGGCAGGGCAGGGCAAAGCAAGGCAGGGCAGGTCAAGACAAGGCAAGGCAAGGCAGGGCAAGGACAGGCAAGGCAGGGCAAGGCTGGGCAGAGAAAGGAAAGGCAGTGGAAGTCAAGGACAAGGCGAAGAAAGGCAGGGCAGGGCAAGGCAAGGCAGGGCAATACAAGGCAAGGCAAGGCAAGACAGTGTAAAGAAAGGCAAGGCAGGGCAGGGCAAGGCAAGGCAAGGAGAAGGCAAGGCACTACCCTGCCTTGCCTTGACTTGCCCTTCCCTGCCCTGACTAGTCTTTCCCTGCCCTGCCATCCCTGACTCTGCCCAGCCTTGCCTTGAATTTCCCTGCCTTGCCCTGCCCTTCTTTGTGAGGCAGGACAGGGCAAAAGGCATTGCAGGGAAGGGCAGTGCCTCTCAGAGTTATCACAAGATATAGCTGTGGGGTTTTTTTTCTTTCCCCTTTAAATTAGGAAGCGCCAAATGTTTTGAATTCTTAGGACAGAAACAACTTTGGTAGAAGTTGAGAGGCTGGAACTTTTGAATAAAGTTTTTAGGGCATCAGCTAGCACGTGGCACCAACGCATGACACCTCAACAACCGAATAAAATCCCTGCTTCACTGTCCTGCTTGGAGCCCGACAGAGCACTAAACCTGCATATCAGGCCAGTCTCCGGGCTATAGAGAACTCGTGCTCACATCCTTGTGCCAAACTGAAAGCACAGGGACTAGGAATTGCCCTAAGTTCTAGACATGTGCCCTTTTTCTCCTGAATTTCCACACTTATTTCCTCAGATAGGAAAGGAGGTGGTTTAACAAAGACACTACTTCCTGCGTAACTGATTTCCATATTTCGTTGTGATGCATTTGAAACTGGAACCTGCATAACTAGGGGGACATTTATGTTAAAAGGTTTATTGTAAGAAAATGAGGAAACCTTTACATTTAAGATTCATTGAAGACACCAATGCTATGGAAGTCACAACAGTGTGAGAGCCAAGCAGTAACAGCATGCACTTCCTAACCTTTGGAAAGGAAAACTTGCCAAAACACTTTCTTAAGATGTGCATGTAAAGAGTCACACAATGACAAGTTATAGAAAAAGGTACCCATTTATTCAAGGTATGACAAGGATATTTACAGTATTCTTTTGCTCAGAATAAGATCCATCCTTACGATTTTTAAAGCAGCAATTATAAATTACATTTAAAAGGGGAAACGTTCCAAGCATGTTTCTGTTAAGAGATATTTTTACAATAGAAACACCTTAAGGCTAAGTCATATTGACCTTTGCTGCCACCCACATTTATCTTGGCAAAACTGCCTCAAAGACAACATTACCTTGATGGATAAAGACTATGCTAAATCCAACATACAATTTTGTTCCCTCAGATGCTTTTCACAACAGTTCACATGTGACAAACTGACTTTCAATTTAAAACAATGAATTAAATAGAAGCAAGATGAACTGCCTACACCCCAGTGTTTCAGAGGGCCAAAAGATCATAGACAAGCAATACGTTTGTTACCTCTGAAAGATCTCATGGGCTCTCTTGTTGGTGAAGGTACTCGACCTTACCAAGCAACGTGCTTCTAGTCGGAGCTCCGGAGCCACCGGCGCAGTCCGCCTTTCCCATCACGTTACTTCTCAAAAGCCAAGGACAAAAATCTTCAGGTAGGTGACTTCTAATGTACATCATGAGCACCGCCTGCCTTAGCCAGTACTTGATTCCCACAGCAGGGACTAGTGTTCTAACCAAAGCAAACAAGATTGGGCTGCTAAACCGCTGTAGTGCTATTGTCTAAAGTCATTTTAACACACAACAGATCTACCCGAACAGTTAAAATTGGTTTATCTCTTGAGGTAGAAGCCACAAATCATATTTACTCCCATCTGTAAACTATAACACACATGCCATCAGGCAAATATAGCCATTTTTTTTGTTTGTTTGTAAAATAAACAGATGCTCTTCATTGCAAATATAACGGCATTTTTTACTGAATTATTTTGTGTCGGTTTGAGAAGGAAGCAAATTAAACATTGGGAATAGTAGATTGCGGCTATTTATACAGTTGTAATGAAAATAAAACATGTCTTATACAAACAAACTTCATAGCAATTTCCAAATGGGCTGGTATATGAGGATTCTTCTTAAAAGTTATTTTGGAAAATACCAATTTTAACTGCGTAATAAAGAAAAAAACACCAAAAAAACATCCATTAGACATTTAAGACAACATAGCTACTTGAAATACTACCATTGCATTTTGGTAATTTTTTTTTTAGGGTTACAGTTAAGGGAAAAGAAAGTTAAACGCAATAGAAACCCCCAAAACCTGCACAAGTACAATTTCCTTAATGATCATGTTTTGTTAGGTGAGGACACTATGTAAAACTAAATCTATTGAAAGTGCACAATGTTTAACATTCCAATAGAAGGAGAAATGGGACCCTTGCATTAGTAGGGGACATTCATTCCAGGTTAGCTAAGAATCTCTGTAACAAAGGTGTTGCTGTAACTGACAGAAGTTTTAAGTTATTTGAAGACAACCCAAGCAACAAGATACAAAATTTATGGAGATTGGCACTTGATCTTTAGTTAGCCCCGTTAGCTCCGTGTTCTCCCCAGAGACTCACATACACACAACTTTAATTTTTCATTTTATTACTGTAAAAAATAAAAGTCAATTTGTAGTTCCAGAGTAAACAAAGAAACCTTAGCTTCAAACTATTTAAAAACAAAGGTTCAAATTTTGATAAGATACATTTCACAGGGTTCATGTCAGCACCTTAACCAAATGCAATTTTTTTTTTTTTGTGAACTAAGCATATTTCACAAAGTTTTCATGTTAGCGACAAGGGGCTACATTCTCATCTGGATGCACAGGTAACATCACTCGAGGAGAACAAACTGGAAGGAGTGCAAGTCATTTTCCAGAGTTCCCTGTTGAGCTCTACATGTTCAGAACCCAAATTTAAGACTGAAGTTATTAAAGATTGACCTTTTGCATATTCCAAAATGGAAGGCAAATACAATCAACTTACATTTGGCTTTGAAACATTAAGATAACAATGTTTTATTTCAGCCACATATTTACAAAAATGTTTACAACAGAACCGTGTAGGGTTTCCTTTTTCTTTGTCATAATACACCTAAAGATGAATAGTCATCTTAACCTTCATGCAAAGATGCATCTCTTGTTACACAAGAAGCTTTCTGTTTGGTTGGTTTGGTTTTTTTCCCCCCTCTGAGGATAGCAACCAGATGGTTGGGTAAGTTTGGGTCACCCTTAAAAACGTAGGCCTGTTTGCTCTACTGCACCTTCAAAATAAGGAGGTAAATTACAGGCACCGTTAATTCCACAAGGGTTCATTGCCTTTAGCGTGTTTTCCAAAAACAACAAAAAGTAGTCTTGAACAGCTGTAACATGGGTTATTCCATGACTTTCACCTCTTCAGTTTACTTCCTGAACTCTGGAGTTACTTTCCTAGAAGCATACTTGCTGAGCTTCTTGTCTAATGTATATTGTTGACTATACATTTTAAATTAAACTGTTATGTAAAGAATGTAACAAGCTTTTCCTTTGTACACAACTTAATCTTTGTGCTGAGTATTCTTCAAAAGGATTTTATAAATAATACAGTAAGTTTAGAATCAGTCTTCTGCTCTCTTGTCATTATACCATGTTGTTGCTTTCTCCAACTTTATCTACAAGCTGTAAAAAAAGGGAGACAAAAAGGTTTTAAACTGCATGACATTTATACACAGTGAAGTTACTCTCAAATATTATTTGCTACTTGCACAGTTAGTATGCAACTGAAAATGAGAGAAAAATAGTACTCACCAAGGTCTCATGATTTAAGTTTGTGAAAATTAAAAAATCTTACATTGCAATTGTGTTTCTGCATGACATGTTTTTCTCATATAGACATTAACAGTGCAACATGAAGATGCAACAGAATGAAAAAGGAAATAGAAGAATGCAGATAACACTGCTAGCTTAATGATTAAAACAAAACGATACAGTATCAGCCACACATGCATTAGTAGACCAAGTAAGATATTTCAACTGACCATTACTGTGGATTCTCTTCTGAGCCTACGTAGGCTTTGAATAAAACATTAACAATTATCTTTTTAAAACAAGATTTAACCCCATTATGATCAAATTAAATATGACTAAGATCGATCAATTGAAAAATTAAACATTCAATTGATCATGAATTATGAGCCGGAAATTGACCTAACTGTAAGATTGGAACAGATGATCTTGAACGCTATTTTTTTTTAAAAAACAGCCTGTATACATCTAAATTATACCCCCTATTTATTTTTTAGTAGTAGCTATTAAAACTGTTACTTTCAAAACTAGGGTTGATAACGGTTGTGTTAAAATACATACAGAAATTAGCACAGTAAAAGTAGTTGACTGAAACACCCTAGATTACCATCTTTCTGGCACCTGTTAATGTCTTCAAATCTCTGGCTACTTGGTCAAGAAAATGGAAAACTGCATTTAAAAAAATACAAATCTCAGTAAATAGCAAGACGTAGCCTGGTGCAGTGGACCTTAATAAATATACCTGATGAATGACACTGTGTTACAAGAGTTTCGGGACTCACCATACAAGCTTCAACTTAACATTGAACTAAAACCATTTGCTTTTACAGGCCACTTTTCATAAACATATCCCAGTACTACATAAAGAACAGCGTCCTCCTCATCATACGGACAGGAGAAGAGGCACTGAACAGTGGCACGATTCATCTATCCGGTCACCTAGGGCCAGGAGTGAAGCAGGAGTTCCAAGTCATAATCCAGGGCTCTTTCCACCTGACAACACGTAAGTGGAAGCAACTTCTGCAAAGGTGTCCTTTTGTTCCTTTTACATCTAGAAGTCTCTCACTGGGATTGAAGGTGATCTGTATGGTGCAAGAACTATACAGGAATACACTCAAAGTCACTGCTCTAAACTTACACTTGCTTTATTTTTGATGCATTGCTACTATGGCTATAACAATGGAATAAAAAACACTACAAGCTTCAAATTTTGCATGAAGTACCAAACACTTACCGAGCTTATACCAGGTAAATTCAAGAGATATCCAAGAACTGGAACTCTTCTAATAAAGCCAACCACCACAGGAAAGAACCCCCTTTAGGTAAGAATATCAGAAGACTGTATTAGTTTTTATAATTAAACTATTCTCTATCTGCTATAAAATGAAGAAATAGTAGGTATTTTTTTAAATCAAGTTTACATAAAATCTTGTAGCTTGTTAGCATCACATTAATTTTACCAAATACATCAACATACACTCAGCAGAGACGAGTGAAAACCAAGAAAGGAACACCTAATTTTTAAATGGAGTTAATTGTCTTCATAGCTGGCAACCTTCAGTCAGCTCTTCAAAAAATAACTAAAGAAAAAATACCCAGCTTAGTCAACAGAACTGATGTTCCCAACGAATTTCTCAAAATTACCATACATATTTTGAGATGATTTCTTATTACATTATAGGAAATACAGTCTTGCAATACTCAGCGTAAGAACAACTGAAGTTAATTCTGAGTAATCCCCTTTGAAACTGTATGTGGTAGTCTACGTTAACTAAAGAAAATTAAGCATAACATAGTTATGTATTCACTTGTTTCACAAATCTGTGTAAAGTCTGAGATTTGAATCATGACCCAGGGGATGTTGCCTGGCATAGCTGCCATGGTGTAGCCCCCTGCACTGTCCACTTCATCTCTGCAGCAGGAAAAGGAATTTTCCATGGCAGTATCTCTGCTGTTTGCAATCACCTGCTGCAATTCAGCTGGTGGTAGCAATCTGAGTTATCTCTTGTTGAGCTACACGTCCCCTGTGTAGAATAAGGATTGATGTGTAATGAAATCTCAGCCACAGTAAAACAGTGAAGTTTCACAAGTCATCATCATCTTCACTACACTGGTAAAAACTATTTGCTGGATAATAACAATGCCAGCACGTTTTTCCTACAGATTTTTTTTTCTTCTTCTTCTTTTTTCCCTCCCAAAGACTAGACCATTTCAGTGGTCCAGTAAATTGTGACGGAGGACACACAAACCACTTCTAACAGATTAAAAGAGCTGGTGTAGTCAAGAATAAGGAACAGTCAGTATAGCAGGATAATATTGGTAGCCATAGCTATGGATGCCTTTAATGTAAACAAGGTTCCAAAAGCAGATTAGAGTACAACAGGAGATACTATCCCATAATAGCCTTCTCCAACTGCATGTAACCTGGGCATGTGAAACCATGGCAGAAGATAAGCGTCTGATGGGAAACATATTAAAGACAAGAAAGGAAAGACATTCTAGATTTAAAACAGAGTAGAATAATAATTGTCTCTCTCTATTTAGTCAGATGCATCTTTAAATGATAATAATCTTTGGAATCCTGGCTCTTTTTTAATTGTTCTGGGTCACCAGTACCTAACTGCTGCTTTGTGGACAACAAGCACTCTGCAACCACTACTACAGGGCATACAAAAGGTGACTGTGTAAAAGTAGCTGAAACATGCAAGGCAACAGCCTACAAGTAAAGGTTCTAGAGGGATCTGAACACCTACTAGAACAGGTTTAGTGGTCGAAAAATCAAAAGACTGAAAAGAGTACAACACAGTGGTTTCTACTTGTATTATCTTAGTCCGAGTTGAAGCAAAGTTACTAGAACTGCTAAATTGCTTTTGATAAATATAAAGGTTGTCCATATAAAAGTCCCAATAATCCACATGACTAGAATCATTAGGAAACACAGAAATGCCCGTCCTCACAACATAATGCCCTAAGAAATCCAAAGGTGCATGATCTGGTGTTCCTTGGGCCTGGAGAAAATGATCTAATTCAGTGGCCACTGATAGCCAGGGAAGTTTTCTGTTCTGCAGCCAAACAGCTGGATCCTGAGGAATCATATGAAATGGTGCTTAAGGAAAGGCTCCGTTTTTAACTTCAGAAAGGAACAAGTTGCCAAAAACATGATAATGGTTGAAGTAGTAACTAGCTTTGTTTGCAGTAGTAACTAGCTAGCAGTGGAACAAGAGATTTATACTCTAAGAACTATTAAGCACCAGAAAAGATGGTCTAGAGATGCTTTAAATTAAAACAGATCAGATAAACATTCAAACCTGGAATTATCTAGCCCTTGTTGATACTCTTCTGGCTAAGGGATAGTCCTAGTGACCTGTGGGTAACTACTGACCTCCTATAATCCCATCAACATTATTTTATCCTGCTAGCCCCAATAGATAATCCATAACCATACCTGCTCTGACATAGTTATTTATAATTCTTTCAAGAACTTTTAAGAGGAGGGGTGTTTGCTTGAAAACCCACTCTACTCGCTTTGTGCTGGCTGATTAAACTCAAATGCTACATGCATGAAGTGACAATGTATTCGGTGATATACTGTGATTTTCCAAACAGTTGGAGTGATAGAGTTCTGAGTAATACAGAGCAGAACAATAAGTATCATATATTAAAAGCTAATTCAAGATTTTTTTTTCAAAAATATTTAAAAATTTTACCTAAACTAAATATAAGATTAACATACAATTTTACTGAGTGGGGGAAAAAAAAGGGCCATGAGAACAGCAGTTTGATTTTGACTAACAGGAACTGTATTATTTAGCTAGCAGTTGGACATTTCAAAAACATTTCAGAGGTCTGTTATTAGATTAATAAGCATTAATAGAACAGTCTTCATCTGAACAAAAGACCAAGAACAACTAAAAGCCTTCCTTCTTACTTATTAGCATATTTTGTACTTTGTTCTACACTGAAATACGGAAATTCAACCATGGAAATAAAGATAAAATATAGATATACAGGTTGTAATAAGTCAATTTTTTCCACCATTAAATTGCATTTATGGAGAAGTCAAATGATACATTGTGAAAGCTATGTTTTTTCAACAGCAATCTTGATACATGTTATGAGTTTTCATGTTTCCTTAACTCAGTCGGTTCAGTATATGCCTCAAACATAAGTAGTTCTCCAAGATTCAAATCTGCTAATCAACTTTCCATCCCTTGCAAATGTAACTCAACAACTTTATATATAAACTAGCAAAAGCAAACATTTAACTTGTTCCTTTCTGATGACGCCGCTTTGCCAGCTGTAACGCAGGAACACTAAACAAATACACTTATTCCCAGATACATCAATACAGAAAGGTATGTTGAAACAAGTCTTACCTGAATAGTAGGAAGAACCCATAAATTTCAAGGATCATTCCTATTAAAGGCCAACCAATAAGAACTATGAGCACACCACCCAGGAAAAAACCTGTTGCTTTCATTTTGTGTTTTTGAAAGAAGAATCTAAATGTTCTTTCTAAACCAATAACAAAAGACAGGCCAGCCACGAATAAAACCTAGAGAAGACAAAAAAAAAAACACAAATAAAAAAAACAGTGAATTATATTCTTGAGTTTAGGATGTAAACACATATATTCTACAAAATTAGACTGCATTTCTTGCATAACTTCTTTTAATACCAAAAGATGGATGGTGAGAAGTAATTTACTAGTGATTTTCTTCTGTAAAGTCCGTTTTAAAGCATTTGTAGTTAGCATTCAAAACTCTTCTCGCACCTGCTTAAACAGTAAAGAGTTTACCTTTGTAGTCTCTGGCAAACACCATCACATCAAAAGACCTAACGACAGTTGTATCTGTCCCGTAACATAAGTACGATCATTACCCACAAGCAGCACGAAAGCTTAGTACCAATGACAGCAAAAGTTCCTACAAACTGAACAGACATGTTACAGAAGCACCTCCGTTCTGTACCATGGATATCTTCAACAGCTCGTACTGATCTACTGATCAGTGCAAAGTCAAAAAAGGAGGACAGGTGAAGAGCATTATCAGTTCTCACTCATTTGTTTTTATTCTGATTTTTTTTTCTTGGTTTTGTGTTTTTTGGGTTTTTTTAAATGTGTATAGTCTTTCTACTGTTTACTAGTTCCAGTACAGACTCAACATTATCACACTAGTCCCAACTAGTTACAACTATTTTTAGTGTCCTTTAGCAACAGGACTTGTAACTATTTCAGCTTCTAAGCATACATCTGGGCAACATTTTTGCTGAAAATGGAATAGTATCTCAGATTTTACTTAAAATTATAGATCACATTCAAGTTTTGTATGTTATGTAATAAACCACTTCCTTAGCATATTTTTCCCTTTCTGATACCACTTTTTTTTTTTAAACTTCCTATAGGATACAGTACCTTCTCTTGCATTATCTTTGGTTACCACATAGCCTGTCATTGTCTCTTCCTACCTATGTTTTCATCATTTTCCCTAAACAGGATCTCGTATTTCCACCTTACATTAGGAAAAGAAAAAATAAGCATTATTTTATTTTTTACTCCTCTGCTATACACTTCGTTGACGGTTCAGAACAAAGCTTCAGCTACCACACTCAAATTCAAATACATGTTTTTAAATTTTCCTTCTGTGAATCTCAGTATTTGATCCTGCTGCCACAGAATGAAACTGATCAGTTTTGACCACAGGCTTCAAGGCATCAGGAAAAGAGGATGCAAACCTCAAGCAGGCTGTGCTCTTGGCTGGCAAAGCTGAGAAAAGCAGAAGCACAGAGATTATCACATTCAGAAAACACCTTGTCATTTTATATTTGCTTTAGATTGGGAATTTTGTGTACCAGAACTAGGATTTATTTTCTATCCTGCTTTAAGTGAAAATGTTGATTTGGTAAAAACTGAAGATATTAGATGTCTCTACTGTGCAGGTTGATTGGCTCTTCTAAACACTCTTCTAATCAGTAATTCATCCTTCTTTTTTTCCTCATAAAGCACAGTAGTGCTACATTTGCTAGCATGTACAAAACACCTCTCTATTCTTATCCAAATAGATATTAAAATCTGACAGTTATCTTACAAGGTCACCAAAAAGAAAGCATTAGTAATCACAGCCAATCTAAAAATCTTAGTTTCAGCCGCATAACAACTGTGGAACAAGCTGCTTCTTGCCTGACCAACATACCGCAGACCTGACCCGGAGGTACGATCTTTAGATTGATGTGGGCTGCTTTCAACTTTAATCAGGAAAAATTATTCACTTGTATCACTGAACATAACTCTTCCTTTATGCCAAATTGCCACAGTACTTTTTGTGATTCAGTTTCAAATTGATAACATTGTTCTATATCTAGAATTAAGTATATGATATATTAAAAATAAACTAAGCGGTGCATAATTTAAGACTAAAGAGCAGGCACTTACATTTCCAATAGCCAAAAGAGCTTTGTCAAAGAAGAGTATCATTCCAAAGAAAAGGAAAAACACTCCAAAGCCTGTTAGTCCCATTCCAATCTCTGAAAAAGAAACAAATTTAGGCATGTAACAAAACATGGTACAGTGAAAAACTTGTGCATAAAAATTGTAAAAAAGCTAGAATGTGCAATCTATAGACATTTTAAACTTATAGACAAATTCAGCCTATTTTATGACCACCTAAAAACTTTCTGTGTGTACAAATATAGTAAGTCTTGTAAACACCAGTTACTTTAATAACAGAGAGATCTTTGGAAGCCGCTTAGCAACAAATTACATATTTGGATCTATATACTGAAATTGAATGCAACAGAAAGGCATGCATGCATATATACATACAGCAAAGACAACCCTTTCGATTTACTGCTAGCATGGAGAAAAGGATTGTTGTGTGAACAGATAATGAAACTTTGTTTTCCATTTGCAACTCTTATCCATTATCCTTACTGCAGTAACACAAGTACCCTGGTCCTTCCCATCCTCCTGAGACCTCACATTCCTCCTCCCCATAATCTTGGATAGCAGTCCCACTTCCCCTAACGTCTGGACTGAACACAGCTCACATCAGTGCTGTACGCTCCAAGTTACACATGTGCTATTAAACACTACTTTGGGTCTCCAGTCAGTTGCCAGTGTTCACAAAACCAGTATCTGCCGGTCTCTAAAGGTTGCTCAAGAAATACTAGGAAGGCAAGAGAAGGATGGAAGCCTGAGAAACTGGGCTAGAAATGCCATGCTGTGATTACAGCTACCATTTGAAAACAGCTTCTGAGGTATCTTGCAGACCATACTTAGAAATAGATCCTACTTTTAAAATTAAACCTCGAAGGCCTTCCTTTGACTCTTACACAGACTGCGACAGGAGAGAAATAACAGGAACAGCAGCAACATGGCTGCAAAAAATCTGTGTGTTCATCCATGCTGCATCCAACTCACCCTTCTGTTATTGCTAACCCTGTGCCCAGAGAATTTAGAAACCTATAGGATACATAAAAACAGCTATCAAAACTAGCCGCAATACTGTAGACAGGCTGGCTGCTCAGTTTGTGTCCTTGTCTGGATACATATATTTTGAAGATAGATATACAGGATATACATATATTTATATATATATTTTCCAGTAGTTTTGTATAGTCTCGCCTGAAACCCCACCCACACTATTAACAGCCTTCACTGCTACTGTTAACCACATCTACACGATCATTTACTGTTAGCTTGAAGAGCTCAGGAGTAAAGGAGCATCACTCTGCCTATTCCAGAACTTCCATTTAGTTATTGCAAAAACATTTCAAAACAGCTCAGAGTGAAGAGATTTGCTACCGCAACATTCGACTTCCCTAACTTCTGCAAAGGCTCATCTTTCAGCGAGGTTGCAGACCACATGGTGGTAAATCTGCAGTTCTACAGTATCATCTGCCACATTAAGCTTTTGCTGTGAACATTTTAACCACCCAGAATTAAAACTACTAAGTAACCCGCTACAACTGATTTATTGCAGACATTCTCGGTACTTGATTACCATGAAAAATGGAATTGAAAGCTGCACTTTCAATGAATCTGCTGACTGAAGGCAATATAACAATTGCAATCTGCCCTTTTCTCTAGTACTCTTTACTTTGGAAAAGCAGAAACAATCTGTATTCTGGAAGGAAAACACTTGGAGGCAGGACTCCAAAGGAATTACCAGCTGCCAATAAGATAAATATGCAATCATGGGAAGCCAGTATTCATTCCTCCCACAGACACAGTACAAAGTAGGGATCTTGCAAGAAGGCAGAGGCCAACTCCCAACAGCTGCCACAATTACTACTCTGACACTTCTCCTGTAATCACTTCAAACATGTTTGTAATCACCTACTCCTACAACAGATTCACTTAAGAAGTCAGCCACATCCTCTGGTTAGTGGAGGGAAAAGAAAACAGAAAAGGAACACTATTCTCATCATCCCCAAATTGCTGCTGAAAGAAGATGAGTAGTCCAAGACTATTGTTCTCTGCTGCCAATATTTCAGCAGAGGATACTACTGACTTGATTCATATCAGAATTCTGAAATATATTTCACTAGCATTCTTTGAGGAAAATAAAAAAAACCACTGACATTTTGTACATAACCTTTGCAACAATGAACTAGGAATTTTTATAGAGGGTGTGAACTATCTTTACACACTTCCTCCTGTGCCAGAAGAGCCTTCCCGTGGTACTCAAATACAACATTTCAATGCCTAGAAATGCAGAAACACATACTAGCCATATTAAAAAGACCCAGAGTAAATGTAAAAATTATTATTATTTACTAAGAGGAAGAAGCAATGCTTTCTCGACATTTCTGCAGAAATCCCATAAGCTGTGCAAGAGTACTGCAGCACTGAATCAAATGGGCTTAGTAAATATTAACACTCAAAATTAAGATACACTGCTTGTGACAGTTTAGGGAAGGCAATGCACATCCTCTATCTTGTATGTGCAAAATAGGAATGGAATTGTGGTCTATAGGCTCTCAGAAGACAAAAATTAATGCAGTTTACAGGTTATGAAAAATTTCAATTTTTAACAATTTTAGTATTGAAAACTTATTTCAGGAAAAACTAAGTGCATTCTTTGGCAATTACTGGTGATTTACACCACCATTCAAGGAATCTTTTAAAAAATGTTCTAGATTATAGCTGCAAATTTAACTGTCCAAACATCAACTAACACAGTGGTTCTCTCCAGGTATTTATCACACTGTTCTACCAGAGACTCTATGGAAAACTCCGTATTTTCCAACCAGCAGTGAGTTTAAAAATATCTGATGAAATACCTTCAGAATGTCAAAAAAAAAAAAAACCAAACAGTGAAAAAACTAAAAGCCTCTGAACTCCACAGTATTTTACTTACTACTCTTGGCTCTGATGGTTAAAACCAAGAGTCAGCACTGGAGTTAACTGAAGGTCCCAACTGAGGAACAGATTTTTCTTTTTCCCCAGTGAATACTCTGGAGAGGAGGACAGGAGAACAAGCGAAAACAAAGCTCATGAGCATTTAATCAGAGACCTAAAAATTAACCCCAAGGGTTAGCACCCATCCCAGTAACAAAGCGCAGCACCTGAATTTCTCAAGAAGCCATTGACCTTGAACGATGCTAACCTGCTTTTCTGCCAGTCTTCACCCTTGGCCTTGATGGGCTCTCCAATACCTCCATTTCCAGTATCCTGCTCTCCAGTTAAACTTAGTTCTTTAAACTTTCTTTTCTGTATTTTTCAAGCTTAGCCTCCTTCGTAACTGACACGACAGTGCCTATCAAGCAGGCTCATTTCCTTTCATGGCAACCTTACCAGAAAGGTGTATGTGAACCTTATATGTGAACCGTTAATTTAAATCAAAGACCTAACATTCTCCTTTACTTTGCAGTTTAAACTCTTACAACCCCCTTTAATTTGACTTCTTTGTATTTTCCCTTTCAACATCTCTATTTCCAAGCATCCAGAAAGAAATTCTTTACAGTGAGGGTGGTGAGACACTGGAACAGGTTGCCCAGAGAAGCTGTAGCTGCCCCATCCCTGGAGGGGTTCAAGGCCAGGCTGGATGGGCCTTGAGCAACCTGGTCTGGTGGGAGGTGTCCCTGCCCATGGCAGGGGGGGTGGAACTCGATGATCTTTAAGATACCTTATCGCTCTCTACAACTACCCGAAAGGAGGGTGTAGAGAGGTGGGGGTCGGTCTCTTCTCCCAAGTCACAGGTGACAGAACAAGAGGAAATGGCCTCAAGTTACGCCAGGGGAGGTTCAGCTTAGATATTAGGAAAAATTTCTTCATAGAAAGGGTTATCAAGCCTTGGAATGGGCTGCCCAGGGAAGTGGTTGAGGCACCATCCCTGGAGATTTTCAAAAGATGAGTTGACATGGTGCTCGGGAATATGGTTTAGTGTTGTTTGGGGGTTTTTTTTGCCTTTTTTTTCCCTCTTTGTCAGAGTTAGGTTGATGGTTGGACTAGATGATCTTAACGGTCCCTTCCAACCTAGGTGGTTCTGTCCCTTCCAACTCCATCTACTCTATGATTTCTCTTCAGTGAGAACAAAACTACAGTTGCATACGAGTACTTTTTTGCCCCACTCCACAGTGAGTGCCTGGTCCTCACCTTAAAAGCGTCACCTGCAAACCTTCCCTGTGATAACAGTGAGTTAAGAAAAAGGCAGTAAAGCCACTGACACATCACTGAGCGATCCCAAGCCACCCGTGTCCACACGGAGGCACACGCAAGACTTTAGTAGCCAACTGCTGCTCTCGTCCACCGTTCAGCTCCCATTCATTCCCGCCACCCCCCGCCAACACCAAAGGCCTCACAGCCCCACACAAACGGCGGCGGTGCCGGTGGCAGTGCCCTCCGAGGAGTGGGGGGAAAAGGGGGAGCCCCCCCTTGCCGAGCACCCGGCCCTCTGTAAGCCCAGCATCCCGCCCCGCTCTCCCTTTCCCCCGGGCAGCTCACGGTACCGCCGCCAGACCCCAGGCCGGGCCGGGCCAGGCCAAGCCAGGTTGAAGAGCCCCAGCCCAGCTCCGCCTGCGCCCGGTTTCCAGCCGGGGCCCGCCGCGGGGTGGGACACGCCGGCCTCGTCTCGCCCCCACAAGCCGGACCCCCGAGAGCCGCCCTCTTCTCGGAGCGCCCAGGGTGAGGAAGGAGACGAGCTCTCCACAGCGGCCCGGCCCCCTGAGCCCCGACCGCACCAAGGGAGCGCGAACAAAGGGGCGAGGGTCCGGGAGCGCCGGGCCAGGCCCGCCCCGCGCCATTCGCCTGCTACCGGAGCCTCCCGTCCCCCTCCCTCCTCGCCCCGCCGCCCCCAGCCTCCCACCGCGGAGCTGCCGGCGGCCCTTACTCTGGCTGTCCGAGAGGGAGATCATGGTGGCGGCGGGCGCGGGGGGACTGAGGGGGAGAAGCGGCGGCGGCGACAGCCACGTCTTCCGGAAACACGCAGCCCCCTTCGCCTCGCCGCCGGCTGAGAGGGAGCCACCCCATTGGAGGGCGCGGCGCCAATCAGCAGCCGCCTTGTTCGCGCCCCTTCCCGGCTCGCTGTTTCCATGACAGCGGGCGGGGCCGAGGTGGGGGGAGGAGGTGGAGGAGGAGGCCGCCGCGGATAGGGGGAGGAAGGGGGGCCGCGCGTGCGCGTGCTCACCCTCGCGCTCCCTTCTCGCTTGGCGATTGGCTGAGGGAAGCCGGCGGTGGGAGGGGGGAAAGGCGGAAGGGGAGGGGCCCGAGAGCCGGGCGTCCGGGTGGGAGCGGGTGAGTAGCGGCGGGGCCGGCGCGCGGGGGAGGGGAGGCGGCGCGTGCCGAGGGCGGTAATCCTGAGGCGGGAGGGAGGCGGCCATGAGGGGCGGCGGGGGGGGCAGGGGTATGTCCTCCTGCTCCTCTTCCTCCTCCGGCTGCCCCTGTTCCGTCCCGCCCCGCCCCGCCAGGACGCAGGTGGCGGCCCTGCCCGGCGGCTGGTGTTCGGCTTTCCAGGTGACGGGGTGCTGAAATACATCTCACTGCTGTCAGTTTAGCTCCCCTCCCCCCCAATGAGTTGTTGGGGTATTTTTTAAGGTGGGTCCTCAGGGATTTATTGTTGGGTGAGGGATTTTTTTTTTTTTTTTTAACAGGGTTAAACTGTGTCAGACGGGTTTGTGCAGTTGTTGGTGGTTCCGTTCCCTAGCTTTAAGGGTTTTTCCTTTGATAACACTCTGTCAGCATCTCTCACTTCTTATGTGACGAGTGGTGCTCCTCAGGGGCCGGTACTAGGACCAGTGCTGTTCAGCATCTTTGTTGGCGGCAAAGTTTGCGGATGACACCAAGGAAGTGGTGTCATCCAAGATGACACCCCAGGAAGGACGTGGACCTGTTGGAACGGGTCCAGCAGAGGGCCACGAAGATGATCAGAGGGATGGAGCACCTCTGCTGTGAGGACAGGCTGAGAGAGCTGGGGTTGTTCAGCCTGGAGAAGAGAAGGCTCTGGGGAGACCTCACAGCAGCCTTCCAGTATCTGAAGGGAGCTACAGGAGAGCTGGGGAGGGACTCTGTGAGGAAGTGCAGTGACAGGACAAGGGGTAACAGTTTTAAACTGGAAGAGGGGAGATTTAGATTAGTTACTAGGAAGAAATTCTTTCCTGTGAAGGTGGTGAGACACTGGAACAGGTTGCCCAGGGAAGTTGTGGCTGCCCCATCCCTGGAGGGGTTCAAGACCAGGTTGGAGGGAGCTTTGAGCAACCTGGTCTGGTGGAGGTGTCCCTGCCCAGGGCAGGGGGGTTGGAACTCGATGATCTTTGAGGTCCCTTCCAACTCTAACCATTCTTGGAGTCAGGACTGAAGAGCTTTAGCTCAGAGGCTGGATAGAAGGCAGGGTAAGAAAGCTTGTCCTGCTGGGGTGCTGATTTAAGTCTCTGCAGGGTGGCATGTGGCACTTACAGGCTGGCCATGCCTAGAACAGACAGGTATCAGCTTTAGAGGCCCCTTTTCCCTGCTAGTGGGCTATTTAGAAAAGGCTGTAATGTGATGGATTCACAGGAATTCAGCTGTTTTTGCAGTGAGGTAACACTGACCTAACAGGCAGGATGCTTCTGCTTGCCTTTTGTCTGCTGTGGCTTATGAGATAGGAGTTCATCATTGTTCAGTTTCTTAGGAGCTTCATTTTTGAGGAATCAAATGGTAATCGGGCGTCTTTTTTGGCAGTGGTGGTATAGAATCAATTATACGCTGTGCTGAGCTACTTCTTTTAGAAATGGGAGCTAAATTAAAGGGTTGTGGAGTTTCAGCAGCGTATAGGGAAACTTTCATGGGCAATTGTCATTCTCTACCCACTCCTTACATAAAAAAATGGCTTATGTTTCCTGAATTGTCAGCCTCATGATATTTGTGAGGATTGTATTTACGGGGGGAGTAGAAGTAGCATATTGATACTGTGTCTGCCATAGCTACTGATTTTTCTGGATGCCCCTCGTTGCTATGTACTTTAGGGAGACTAATATTTCCAAATATGTTTGTGCAAGTGACAGGTGGCATAAAGGCAGAACTGAGTAACTCAAATTGTGTGGGTAACGTGGATGCTACTGAACTATCTTATGCAATAATCAACTCCTTTCTGAAGTGTGGGCCTTTAGCTTATTTTTTAATTACATCCTCTTCTGGAAAAAAAACAGTGTTTTATTTACACATTCTTTTTTATATGTATTTCTCCCCCATTTACAGGAATGCAGTGAAATATTTGTTTTGTTAAGATCAGCATAGAGTGAGAGTCTGCTGAATTTGTTCCCTTTCACCTTCCCTCAGATTTGAGTCCCATGTATATAATAAATAGTTCAGAATTCAACAAAGGTGAGAGAATGTCAGGTTTCTTGAGTTTTGTATTGTTAGCATGTACTACAAGAAAGAATATTGTTCAAAAAGTTAGCCAGTAAATAGAATTCTAAGTTCATCTCACTGATGACCTAGCCAAAAATGGTTCCTCTTCTCTGAATCAAACTACCTACTTCCTCCTAGAAGATCCTCTAGGTTTTTGGTGGCTACTTTTCTAAGGGGCACAATATAATTCTGTAAAATAGTCAGAGATGAAAAAAAAGATAGGTTAAAGGTAGGTGAATGACTGGACCATTATTATAATGGACCATGAGTCTTGTAGAAAATTATGAGTTGGTCAAAATTCACTTGCTTTCGTTTAGAAGACCGGTGAATCCCTATAGCCTTAGGAATTGGTTGTGAGTTAGTATCTGCCCCTTTTGCACAAGGGAAAAAGTGTGTTGTCATCTAGTTGGGCATATTTATACAGGCAGGTTAAATGAACTAGTACTTGTTATATTAACACCTTCTATATTAGTGAGTTATCTCTTGCAGTAAATTTTTTCTAAGTTCAGAAGGACTTCTAATGACTTTTTTTTTTTAATTTATTTTATCATTAGGGATGGAACTTGGTTAAATAAGATCTCAGAAGGATAACATTCTCTAATCTCCAAAGATGGCAGCTGTTGCAGGTAATCCAAAATTATTATTCAATATATTAATTTTGCTATCTTTTAGCTAACAGGCACAATCACCTGATGTTATTGATTCATATTTATATGAATTTAATATATGCAGAAAAGAGTTTGTGGGATCTATGTTATTATACTTCAGCTTGTGGGGTCTTATGTTATACTTCAGATTTGAAGAAAAAGTTCAAACTGGATAACTTTTTATTTCTTAGACTAAAAACTAAAAAGCGTGTTTGTCAAGGAAATCACTTGGTTTTCAATATTTTGAAAATATGATTCATATTTTAAAATAGTTTCAACTCTTTCATGCTGAGTAACAATGAGCATTTAGGAAGACAAATGTCCCCGTTTTCTGCCATTTGTAGTGGGATGTCTTTTTTCATATCAAAATTTTGCTTCCATAGCAGATTATCATATCTGCTATGCTTGGACCAAAATCTCTCATTTTGTGGGGTGAGGCTGAGGAAGATGGTTCTTCTTATGCTTTTCTGAGATGGCTCTGAAATAGCGATACAGGCCTGGCATGCTGTGGCGGTACATGTTAGTTATTCTTTTAAACCCTGGGGATTGGATTCTACAACATAATCTGTAATTCACAGAGATGCATATTAGGATGTAGAGAGGCAAATTCCTGCCCAAGATTCACTTATTTAACCCAAGCTTTGAGGGAGTATTTGCTTCAGATTTTTCAGGTCAGTAGAATAGCTTGTATTACCTAAAGCTTTTGTCCTCTGTGTTCAAACCTTGACGTTCAGCAGATCCTCTGGTCCTGCATAGGGTCTGTTAGACTGTCTATTTCTCTAGGTGATTTTTGGTTTGTGATTAATTTTGACTGTTGTCAGTCAACAAATTAAATAAAACATCATTTAAAACTGGGATTAGCATGTTACTGTAGTCTCTATTCTGCATTCACCATGCTTTTCTCTTCAGTGCTAGAGGAGGTACTGGTTTCCATTGAAAATGAGCTGCAAGCAGTGGAGATGCAGATTCAGGAGCTTGTGGATAAACAGCAGGAACTCCTTGAAAAGAAGATGAGGGTAAAGAACCTGATAAAGCAGTCCTCAGGAGACTCGGAGGCAGGTGGAAGTAAAGACGCTGAAACATCAGCTGAGACATGGAACAAAAAAGGTTTGCAAAGTTAAAATCAAATATTCTAACATAAAAGTAAAATAATTCGGTAGGGGAAAAATGTGTTCATACAGAGTTTTGTTTGGATAATGATACTGTCCTATTTAATTTTGTACTTAACTCTCTGGGAATTCTTAAATACTGATTTGAGTTGTTCTGGGCAGAATTATCACAAGAATGGCCTGTTATAACTACTTTTATTCTTTTCTTGTTGCAAAGTCACAACTTGATTTGATTTGCTATAAGAATCCCAGGGTAAACCTCGGTATATTGCAATACTTATATTCCATGTTTATTTATGTTCTAAAAATATTACTCTGACTCTTTTCAGGATTTGATAATAGCAGTCTTGCACTCTCAAAATTACTTCTTGCTGTCTTTGTGTTTCTGTAGGACATGATTGTGTCTACCTCACAGTCTTACTAAATTAACTGTTATGTAGCCTCGCTATCTTACCAAATTAATGCAAATCAGATGGACACTGACTACCAAGAGTAACGTAGATTACCTAAATATGGTAGAGCTAATCCAAGTGGCAACTGGCCCATGGTGGTGTGAGGGCTGCTGTTAAACATTAACTGAAGTCCTGGGTGGTTGGTGGGTCTTGACTGTGTGATGCCTAGCCAAGTTCAATTCAGATCTTTTTATTATAGTTTTTCCCCCTTCTCTTTTATTTCACTTGCAATTTGGAAATGCATTGTTAATTTCTGCCTGTATTTATTGTATGTATTCTTTTTTGGGGGGCTTTCTTAAAAATGAAATTAATTTTGTAGTCTAATCCATATTTGTCTGTGTTTGAGAAAAGTGTTATGAATAAGTAAAAATACTGATACTTTATAATTGCAAATTGATGCTATTGAAGAAATCAGTTTGTTTGGGGTGGCCTTGTGCCTAATTCTCTCCTCCTATGCTTTGAAAACTAATATCTTTGCAATCAGATGCTGTGCATCTTGAATAAGAGCAATAGCTGTATTTGGCCCCAGTGTAAAGCTCACTGAAGTCAGTGGCAGGTTTTTCTTGGTTTCAGAGAGCGTTGGATCTTGGCTATGCTCTCTGCAGCAATTAGGAAGCAATGTCACCTCAAATCCCAGAGTTAATTCTTGCCCTGCATGTGGTGTAACCTGGAGTTCCACAGTTTTTCTGCATTTTAATTTTAATAATATGAAATTGGTTAATATGCTTCCTGATGCATGTGAAATTTCAGTTTTTACAGTATGATCTCTAAATGATGCAGTCTCTAACTCTTTATTGAAGAAAAGAAAAAACTACTATAAGCATGTTGGGGTGATTATTTTGGGCAAGATTAAACCCCCTCCCCCCTATGTTTTTTTTTTTTTTGGTTTGGTTTGGTTTTTTGTTTGTTTTGGTTTTTTGTTTTGTTTTTTTTGTTGTTGTTGTTGTTGTTGGGTTTTTTTGTTAATGCTTATTATCTCTGGAATATATGGAAAAAATGATAGCCTTCGTTATCCTGTTTGTAATTAATGCATTTGTCCAAGGGAAGCATTTGGCCAATTTAGTAGTGAGACTGCTGTAGGGCTCAGTGTCTGGTTTTATTTATTTTCAAGGTGGGTTTCTCATTTCCATTTGATTTTGGACTAATCAGTTAACTTGATCATTAGCACTTTGAAGTTCTTAATCTGCTTCTTCATCTTCATCCCCAGTGAAAGCCTCTAGTCTGGAGGTGGGTTGTGTTTACATTTCATAGGGTTTTCAGAGGTCCACCTTAGAAATTGGTTTATACAGACTTGAGTTGTGTGTAGCTTTTTGTGTCATTTTTGAATCTTTGAACACTTTCCCAGATCTCAAACAGTATTGCTTCCACATTTAGTTATTGTATGTGTGTATAAATTGCCCTCCCTTCTTATATTTGAACAAACCTGGTTATGAAACATGTTTGGGTTTTTTTTTTTTTCCTTTAACAGATTTTCCATGGTATGAGAAGATAAAAAGTGCACTTCAGAGCAAGTTTAAGCTCCAGAAGTTTAGGTCCTTGCAACTTGAAACAGTAAATGCTGCAATGGCTGGAAAGGACATATTTCTTGTCATGCCTACAGGTGGTGGAAAGAGCCTTTGCTATCAGTTACCAGCAGTTTGTTCTGACGGTATGTAAGGGAAGAAAAGGTCCACAAACAATTGGATTTATTTTCTCCCTTTTATAGTTATTTGGAGAATGAACATTATATTGGTGTCTAATATCACAATATGGGGGGAAAAAAGAGCAAAGATATGAAAGATTTACTAGAAATACTTGCTTTGCTCTCTTACTTAATTTTCTCTGAAGGACCAATAGCAACTTCAAAATAAATGTGCCCTTTAGATGTGATTTAGATTTAATTTATCTAGGTTCCTCTCAATACGTTATATTATTAAACACTGAAAGAACTTTTAAAAAGCTGTTCACTATTTTTTCCTTTCTCTTCCTTTTAATTCAATATACAGACCGTAAATTATTAAAGTATGGATATATGTTGTTTGTCTGTTCCACTCTAAGGTTTTAGCTTCAGATTATTTAGGAGAGACATTGTGTGTTAATTTTTTTAAACCTAAGTGTCCAGTTCTAGTTTCTAAGTTGTTTTTTTTTATTATTATTTTTTTTAATAACCCATCCAATTGCATGGGAGTTTACTTATTTACAAAGATCATATTTACTGATACCTAGCATTGCTTAGTTGTGTGGTAAATTAGCACCTCACGACACAGATGTAAATCCACTTTGCTTTGTTTTGTATTATTAGTTCTTACACTCCATTTGTTGCAGCTCAGTTATTTGTGGTCTAGATTCAAAGAGAAGGTACGTGTCAGAGGCAGTTGGTCTGAAGTATCCCTGTGTGACCTGGCACTGGCTTATCAGCTATCTAGGAGAGGAATCTGATACTGTGTATGAAGCTTAAGCTCACGTTTGGCAGTTTCTTCAGAACAAGGCTGATGCATTAATGAAAAGTGCTAGAGGAGATATTTCTGACATCTGAACTGTTCAGTTTGCACAATGATTGATTGTTACAGGTTTCACGCTCGTGATATGTCCTTTGATATCACTTATGGAAGATCAGCTCATGGTTTTGGAACAGCTTGGTATTTCTGCAGCTTTATTAAACGCCTCGAGCAGCAAGGTATGTTTAACTGCCAAGTTGTCATGGCTTTTGTGGTGTATGTGCCAGCATATTGCCTCTGCCTGTTATTTACCAGTACTGAATGAGTGGCAGTTCTATCAGCTAACACCATTCTGTCAGCAGTATCTTGCCAGCTTTGTGCTGTGATACGGATAGTACGAATAAGTATCTTGCATTCTTGATTTAATGACAAAAATGCATGCACGCCAACACCTTTCACGAAATAAATAGATTTCATGGGACTATTTAGAGGATGTGAAGTACCTTTGGCTGACGTGTGTCGTAGATTTTTACACAGTTTCTAGATTTAAAAGAATGTTGGAGTAGGTGATTTTTTGTCCCCTGGGAGCATGTTAAGCCGTGCATATAATTATTTATCTTACTTTAGGATGGTAGGCTGTTTGATCCAGAGGCTGAGAAGCAGCTTATTTCCCAGTCTGTCATTAGTCAGTTGCTTTTTACAGTGCAATATCTGTTCCTGACTGGCAGGAGGCCACGGTCATTAACTTGCACGTGGCACTGGATTTGATAAGTTAGTGGCTTGACACAACATGCCAAACTTGGAACCTGCTTTGAGGTAGAGTGCACTGAAAACTCAGTAATAAAGATTACAATTGTGTGTAAAAATTTATTTTGCACTTGTTATACCACAGGCGTGTTTGGTACATGCGTTTATTGTGTTTATTGGGAAAATGCTGATAGCACATGATGAAGTTAAGACAAATACTTAATAGTTTGCTTTATCAAAGTTCTGTGACAGATTTTCCAAGTATTAAAATTAACATTTTATATATAATGATCTGCAAAGACTTAAATTACAGTAATATAACAATATATAATAATATAATACATTAATAATATATACAGTAATATAATTACAGTAGTGTAATATATAGAGACTTACAGTAAATACTGTGTAACAGTTTGTCAGTCTCTGTTAATTACTCCTTTTGAATTGTTAATTACCTCTTAAGAATCTTAGCACTAAGGAACTTCCCGTGTGTTGTCCTGGTGTGTTTACCCCTGATTTCTCCTTTTGTTTTGAACAGGAGCATGTGAAGTGGGTTCATACCGAAATGCTAGACAGAAATTCGCAACTGAAGCTCATTTATGTGACCCCGGAGAAGATTGCAAAAAGCAAAATGTTCATGTCAAAATTAGAGAAAGCTTATCAAGCAGGATGTCTTGCTCGCATTGCTGTAGATGAGGTCCATTGCTGCAGTCAATGGGGCCATGACTTCAGGCCTGGTATGTTCATTTGAAATCCAGTTTGCAGTGTTATTCAGGCATCAGTAAATAATGAGGTAGGCTTGGAATAAAGCCAGGTGCCTTCTTCATGTGTCAAGTAAATATTTAGTGTATGGCAAGTACCTGTGTTAGCTCAAGGGCTTTAAATTTAATTCGCAAATAACTGTATCCTTGTCCAGGATCTAAGTTCATGCAAATGGGGGTGATTTCAAATTTTGCTGTCAGTATTTTGAAAAACTCCTAAATCCCTTTACTTTAATTGGAGCTTAATAAAATGAAAGTTTTCAGCTGCTATCTTTAATACTTACAGTATAGTCATCTTTAATCTACTGCTACATGAAAAAGTGTTATTCTGCATGCTGCTCTCTGGGTGACAGAGGGAGAGCATTTTGTAAAATTCATGAGATGTATTTTAGTCACTTCTAAAGCAAATTGAAACAAATGCCCTTGACTTGCAGGAAAAGAAATTGTGCTTCAGTTTCTTTCCTATCTTGTTAGTTGTAGAACACTGTTGATTGCTGCTTACAGTTTCTTTGCCTTTGAAAAACATCTGATTTGAAGCAATAGTAACTGTAAAGTCAACCTTTGCGGTTTTGTTAGAAAGGGGTGTCTGAGCAAAGAGCCGTGCCAGTTAAACAGGTCATGTGGAAATTGGATATGTATCTCTGGCTGCATTTCTGTTGTAAGGCAGCAAGTGATTGTCAGCACTGAGTCTTTACAATCTTTCTTTTGTACGGTCCGGGCTATATATCCAAATTCCACATTGCCTGTTTATTAGCAAAGCTGTGTTTACTGAAAAGCTGTTAATAAAAACAGACCTGCAAAATAACCTGAAGTATAAGTGATGCCACTTATATTTTTCTAACTTCTTAAAAACTTCTATTTCAATATGTTTTGCCTTCTGAATTCTGGTACTTTTTTAACATTTCATTAGAAGAGAAAGCTTCTATTTTGATAAAGACAACCTTTTTATTACTTCATTTGGATGTATAAATTAGTTCTGTAGTTAATTGATCAGTAATAACATTCACTGCAGTATTACTCCATAGAATGCTATCTAGATGAATATGTTTTTTAACATTGGATTTATGGTATGAGAAATATTTTTCTTTCCAATTTTTTTTTTCCTTAGACTACAAGTCTCTTGGTATCTTGAAAAGACAGTTTCCCAATGCTCCCTTGATTGGATTGACAGCAACTGCCACAAATCATGTTTTAAAGGATGCTCAGAAAATTTTGCATGTTCAGAAGTGCATTACCTTCACTGCGTCTTTCAACCGGCCCAATCTTTACTATGAGGTATGTCTTACTACCTGTTTCTTTGATGCATCACAGTCGTATTATCTTCTGTAAGCTGCAGTTGATGAATTTTAGACTAGATTTTCAATTATACATTATAATAATAAATAGCTTTTCAACTGAATGGTGGTGTTCTGTCATGGTTTCATCTTCCTGAACTTACTGTCGTCTGCAGAGGAACTTGGGCTGCTCTGTCTTTGTGAGCAAGGCTTAGTAGATAGGACTGTGTAGAGGGGAGAGGTAGGTAGGAGGCTTATACTGCTTCCAAACTGTTGGTCATATGATGGCAAAAAATAGTGAATTATTGTGTTATACAGTATTTTCAGTTTGACCACAGCTTCTCTTAGTGTTCTTCATGAAAAAACTTTAGCGCTTTTTTTTTTTTCCTATGGACTTTTGAGATGTAATCTGACTACACAGAGAGAATCAAGTAATTTTTGTTAAATGGCAGAATAGTGTTTATTGTACTGGAAGAAGTAGAATCATAGGATTGTTTGACAGATTGTGTGCCCACTTGAAGAAATTTGATATGTGTTTATTATATTTTTGAGGTTCGACATAAACCTTCAAATAATGAAGATTTCATTGAGGACATAGTTAAGATCATTAATGGAAGATACAAAGGACTTTCAGGTAATTTTTTTTTTCTTTTTTAAAAAAAGTTATTCTCTACAGCATTACAGGGATGTTTTCAAGTGCTCCTGAAACATGTAGAGAAAATCTACTTTCACCATATATTAAGCATCCAGTATTAGAATAAATGACATTTAGTAAGATCCATACCTTGAGTAATTGCTCTTTTGAGTCATTAGTGTTTAAATGTCTTTACGGTTTACTTATATTTTCTGAAGTACGGAAATAGAATGCTGTGATGTATATGGAACAATGGTTACATAGGTAAGAATAATAGCAATTGTTAAGATTATAAAAACAAGGCTCAAAAAGGTTCTCTCTGTGTTCTTAAATCACACACATGCCATTTAGTATCTATGTGTTGGGTTACTTACTGTCTTTAACACTACTTTTTTATATTTCATCATAAGCTTAATTTTTTATTCAATGCTCAACCTGGGGGTGAGGTGAATTGCGCTTTTGTGATGAATGAAGAACTGTAAAAGTTGGACTTTGTGAATCAATAATTTACATACTGCAAATAAAGAGGGGGGACATGTTACAAAGGCAACAGAACCCAGTTTTCTGGAGCAGGGCAGCAGTCCCTCCCTGTCTCTGCTGTGGAACTCTGTGGCTGTGCTGAGCAGCTCCCTAAGTGCAAAGTGTGCTAAGAGGATCACAAATTGCGTGGTTCTGGGTGTAATCCTTGACTTAGGGCAGACTGATTAATGACAAAAAGCAGATTTATCTGAAACCTCAGTTGAGATGTCATAGATGTCATAAGGAACAGCTCCCCTTTACATAACCATTAATAACCATTGTCTTCCTTGAACATTAATATTTCCATGAGTATGTGGAATTTCCATGAGTAAGTGGAATATTTTCTCTTTAGCTTCTGAGTCAAAGCTGATAATTGAAGTTTCGTTCATGGCTACCAATACTACAGACTGAATAGGCACAGAGATCGTTTACTGGTTTTGTTATTTATCTTTAAGTTAAAAAAAAAAGTACTTAAAAACAACTTTGAAAGTTTTATTAAGACATTGCAATAAGGCATCTTTCGCTTTTGTGCAGGAATCGTTTACTGTTTTTCTCAGAAGGATTCTGAACAAGTTACTATGAGTTTGCAGAAACTAGGAATTAAGGCAGGGACTTACCATGCAAACATGGATGCTAAACATAAGACCAAAGTTCATAAAGGGTGGGCAGCAAATCAGATCCAGGTAAAGTAGATACTTTAACAGACTTATGTCTCATTTAAACAAATCGTGGTTTGGTACCTTGATGGTTTCTTAATCTTATTTTAGGTTGTAGTGGCGACTGTTGCTTTTGGCATGGGAATTGATAAACCTGATGTGAGGTTTGTAATTCATCATTCTATGAGCAAATCCATGGAGAACTACTACCAAGAGAGTGGACGTGCAGGTATTGTAGGAAATGGCTTTTGCAAAATAGCCATTTACATCTGTTGAACCAATAATATTATATTTTGATTTCAGCCATTTGTGCAAAGTGTCTTGTCTTTGAGTCAGGTTCTAATGTGTATAATGCCACTCTGCCTCTGTAAAGAGGCTTTAAAGCCAATCATAACAACATTAATGATCTTAGGCCTCTGTAGTACAGTGTAGCAAAGAATAACTGGGTGCCTAGCCAGTACTCAGTGATTTTTTTAATTACTTGATTTTTCTGACATCTGTGGCTTACCAGAGTAATTTCATTACATGATTGGATATATGTTACAGAAAGGATTTATTTTTTCCTTTGCATAGCAGCTGGAATGCGTAACTTGCTCAGATTGTCTCTAGATGATGTTTAATTGCTGTGTTAATTTCAGTGGCCACAGAAATACGAGTAGGATTGGGAGTCTGGAGCGAGGAATTTTAAGGATTGATCAGTGTCTAGCAGTACTAAATAAAAGTGCTGTGGTGTTTTGTTTTGCTTTGGGTGTTTTTGACCTCATGCATTGTTCTTCAAAGACAGATTTGAATCTATGTGGAGGAAATCTTTTTAAAGACCTTGAGGGGAAATTGCTTGAGATTTTAACTGCCTGAATGATAGAAACAGTCATCAAAGTTTGTGGGAGTTTGCATCTACTTATGCTAGAGACAAAGGCTGTATAGGTGCTGAAATAGCTGTTTCACTATGTTTATCAACTTGAGGTGATTAGAGCAAACTTTTGAGTGTTTCTTTTTCATAACTTGATATAAATGAGGTTCTTCTGGGTGGGGAATTAATTAAGCACTGCTACTCATTTGCCTGAACATACTACCTGGCTTACAAAACCTTCCTTTTTCCCCTTGAATGCCCAACCAAGTAAAGTTGTTCCTTTCTGTTGTATGTTAATTTTTTTAAAAAAATTGGGGTTTTAGACCTTTTCTGCTCTCTGGTTCTTGTAAACAGCAGAAGGGTACCCACCAGCACACCGTTGGAAAGGGTGGTCAATGGGAAGGAAGAGATGATCTCAGTTCAGCTATAGAAGACAAAGTTGGTTTTAAATCGAAAATTTTGTTAAACCATACCTAATTCTTTATTTATTACCATTAGTACCTAATAAGGTATTTGAAGCTCACAAAGTCTTTAAATCAAATAAGAATTAGATGTCAAGATGTATATGGCTAGGATTTTCTGCAAGGTGTTTGGGTGAGAAAATGGTGATTTCACTGACTTTTTTTATGGCATTAATGTTGTTTAGAGTCAAAATCTTCATTGTGTAGTATTTTCAGTTTGCCTGATTCTGTAGTTGTAGAAGACTGTTCTAGATCTATTTTATTTCTAATCTGTATCATGCTGTGTTCTATTGGCTAATATGTTTTGCTTGATACTGTTACAGTCATGCACAGTCTATATAGGGGCTGCAGAAGCCCAAGCCGATAAGAGTTGAATTTGTATCAGAAAATACTATGCTTAAAGTAAATCTCTTCTGAAGTTTAAAGTCTAAATTTTTTGTTTATTTTACTGCATTGCAGGTAGAGATGACCAAAAAGCTGACTGCATTTTATATTACGGTTTTGGAGATATATTCAGAATCAGCTCAATGGTAGTGATGGAAAATGTAGGGCAAGAGAAGCTGTATGATATGGTGTCTTACTGCCAGAATATGAACAAGTAAGTTACTGTTGTGGCTTGGCTGCTTATTTTTTAAATAGTTAGGCTAATCTTGTTGGGTTTTTTAGAGGGTGTTTAAAAAATATATATAAAAACATTAAAAAAAATCCCCACAAAAATAACAGTAAAGCAAAAAAAAAGTCCCACCACACTATACAAACACTACCATTGTAACAGTCTGGAGTGTGGAGTTTGTGGTTTGGCTGCTTAGTATGTGTCCTCTCGCATACAACTGAATGTTGGTGTGTTGCTTGCCAGCTTCAGGATGAAGTTCTGGAAGCAGTTATGTTAATATAGTTAGACAGTTGTAATACCTCTCAACAAACAGTGTTTGTATTTCAAATCCCATTCAGAGCAAATGGTGCAGTGCTTTGTTTTTTACTCTAAGGTACCAGAGTTTTATGGCCGTACAGTAATCTGCATGTGTATAATGCTTCATCCACTGCACTGAGCTCTATTGAATACTTCATGGAAAACACTTGTATCTATGTTGTGGACAACTCATGTCTTCAGTACAGCCTTTGTTGGCCACAGTCTAAGAATGAATTTGTATTCTCAAGGTTTTTCATTCTATTGGAATTGCAGATTATACTTTGATTTAACCAAACTATTCCTACAGCAGTGTTCTGTTTTGCTGAAAGCTACTAGTTACTCCTATCAGCATAACTGACAGGGAATACTGTATTGCAGTGTTTCACTGAGTTTCACTGATTTTTTAGAGTTGGAAGGGACCATAGAGATCATCTAGTCCAACTCCCCTGCTGAAGCAGGATTGCCTAGAGCTAGAGCATGTTACTCAGGACGGCATCCAGGCGGGTCTTGAAAATCTCCAAAGAAGGGGACTCCACACCCTCCCTGGGCAGCCTGTTCCAGGGCTCTGTCATCCTCACTGTGGAGTAGTTTTTCCTCAGATTTGAGTGGAACCTCCCATGTTCCAGCTTATGCCCGTTACCCCTTGTCTTCTCACTGGCAACCGCTGAAAAGAGTCTGGCTCCCTCCTCCTTCAAACCACCCTTTAGGTACTTATAGGCATTGATAAGGTCTCCCCTCTGCCTTCTCTTCTCCAGGCTAAAGAGTCCCAGCTCTCTCAGCCTTTCCTCATCAGGGAGATGCTCCAATCCTTGAATCATCTTTGTTGTGCTCCGCTGGACTCTTTCCAGTAGCTCCTTGTCCCTCTTGAACTGGGGAGCCCAGAACTGATGCAGTATTCCAGTTGTGGCCTCACCAGTGCAGAGTAGAGGGGGAGAATGACTTCCCTCGACCTACTAGCCATGCTCTTCCCTCTGCAGCCCAGGATCCCACTGGCCCTCCAGGCCACAAGAGCACACTGCTTGTTCATTGTCATTTTGCTGTCTACCAGGACCCCCAGATCTTTCTCTTCAGAACTTGTCTCCAGCAGATCCACCCCTAACCTGTATTGGTGCCTGACATTCTTCTTCCCCAGGTGCAGGATCCTACACTTTTCCCTGTTGAACCTTATGAGGTTCTTCCTTGCCCAGATCTCCAGCCTGTCCAAGTCTTGCTGGATGGCAGCACAACCCTCCGGGGTGTCAGCCATCCCTCCCAGTTTGGTATCATCAGCAAACTTACTGAGGATACACTCTGTCCCCTCGTCCGGGTCACTGATGAATATGTTGAACAGGACTGGACCAAGTATTGACCCCTGGGGGACACCACTGGTTACAGGTCTCCATTAATCAATACCTTTTGGGTCCTGTCACACAGCCAGTTCTCAATCCACCTCACTGTCCCCTCATCCAGCCCATACTGCCTTAGTTTCCCAATGAGGCTGTTATAGGAGACAGTGTCAAAAGCCTTGCTGAAGTCAAGGTAGATGACATCTGCTGCCCTTCCTTCATCCAACCAACCAGTTATAGCATCATAGAAGGCTATCAGATTGGTCTAACATGATTTACCCTTGGTAAACCCGTGTTGCCCACTTCCAATAACCCCCCCGCTCTTCAACTTGTTTGGAGATGACATCTAGAAGGAGTCTCTCCATTACCTTTCCAGGGATGGAGGTGAGACTAACTGGTCTGTAGTTCCCAGGGTCCTCCTTCTGTTTTCTGCTTTTCTGGTTTGTTTTCTGATTTTTCCTGAGCCAATTCTTCATGCTTGTTTTGAGGTAGGAGCTGATCCAGAGGACCTTCTTTTTGCTGCTTTTGTGATTTATGACACAGGTGTATACATTTACATTCTATAGTTCCCTTGTCGCTCTCTATTCTTTCAGGTGTCGCCGGGTGCTCATAGCCCGTCATTTTGATGAAGTATGGGATTCTGCAAACTGCAACAGAATGTGTGATAACTGCTGTAGAGAGAACTGTAAGTAAATTGGGTTTTTTATAACCAAGGACCGAGAACAAGGCTTAAAGAAATAATCTAGTTTAGGCAAACTGTGCACAACTTCTGTAAAGCGTGCTTATAGTACTGCCCGTTTCCAAGGTTCTTTTGTTATGAACATTAGTTTTTGGTGGCTTAGTTTTGCCAAATTCAGGGTATTTAGTGAGACTTTTCCTGGTTTGGCTTTTTGCCTGACGCCAAACACTTTGATATCTTCCAGGCTCGGTCACTGAAGCTCTGGGGCAAGCAGGAGATTGGCTTACCTGTTTTTAAAAAGATTCTGCTGTGTGTTAGGTTTTGTTTCAGGATTTTTTTTGGGGGTGTGAAAGCTTTATTTTGAGAAGGAGCTTCTTGCTCTCTACATGCCAAACTATTCACACGTAGGCTCTGAGAAGGCACAGTTTGCACATGTCCTTTCACAACTTGCCTGGTAAAAGTCTGAGGGTTTCAGTGTGTGTGCTCGTGAGACCTGCCTGTGTCAGGGCTGTGCCTGACAGTTGTGCAGAACAACTGAGCACGCTAATTAAGGATTTTGCTGTGTGTTAGCCCAAACAGCAGAATGTCTGTCTAGTGCGTGCTCTTCCTTTGGAAGAAAGTTGGGATCATAAGAGGAAAGGCGTGTGGGCAAGACTTAGAGGGAACTTGGGAGATGAGGTGAAACGACCTGCTGGAAAGCTCTGAAAAGAGTGCCGAGAAACAGTTGGTGTCGAGCATCTCTAACTGGATACACAAAACCACCTTCAATTTCTTTGAGGACCAGGTGAATTCTAATACCTGGAAAATATCATCTCCTCATACCTCATATCTGTTGCAAAACATTTGGATAACGTAGTGATCAGCACTTAAAAATCTTATGAACAACTCTGTATTCTAAACTGTTCTCATACCTGGACTTTATTTCCATGTATATTTTTTGTACAGTAAAGTAGACAAAACATTTTTTTTTCTTTTTTCTTTACAGTTAGTTGTATCTATATGATAAAACTTTCACAAAATCATGCAAGTAACAATATGTTATCTTCTATCAGGATTCATTTCTTCTTCAGGATTCATTTCCCTGGTTGGAAATGGGGCGTAGTTGAAATTTATACTGGGATCAGAGGTTGAGTATGGAGCTGGCTTGTACCCAAGACTTAGAGGCATCGTGTTTACTGCTGGTTTACCCCCAGGGCCTTTTGATCATAAGTGAGGTCTGAGGAAACCTAGCCGTAGTACTAGTTTTTCAGTGCTTAATTCTTAGTATTGGAGGAGGCAGTTGGGGTAATCGTATGCCATGATCCAGTCACACGGTAGAAGCATGATCATTATGTGCTATATGGATGTGTTAGTGCTCAGAATAATTATTCATGATGAAGCTAATTTGTATAATGAAATTAATACTTATTTTTCTGTCTCATTTTGTTTGTAAGCTTCTTGAGAGACGAAGTGTCTTGCTTATATTCTTCAGTTCCTCTTTGCTCTTTAATCTTTCCATAATAAGTGTTACGGGTGAGGAAAAGGAATCCAGCTGCAGAGTAACACAGTAGCTACTTTACAAATTTTATGCTTTGTAAATGCTTCTTTGAAATAATTTGTGCAGATGATTGGAAGTTTAATTACATGTAAAAATGTTTGCAGGATTGGAGTTTTAATAATGCACTACAAAGATGAAAGTTTCTGTACAAATATAGCCTAATTTGATGGAGGGGAAGTTATAGCTTTTTTTTTATAAGTTATAGTTTAAAAGCAAACAAACAAAAAAGCATTGCTATTATACGGCACATAAATCTGTATCTATAGATATACACATACACCTATAAATGTATAAAAGTGCATCGATATATATGCATCTAATGTATATACGGATACTACCTAAATAACTATAAATAACTTGCTATTTAAATGTTACTTCACTTTTTATTTGTAGCATGTGAGAAAATGGACATAACAGGATACTGCAGGGATCTAATCAAGATACTTGAGCAAGCTGAAAGCATGAGTGAGAAACTCACCCCACTGAAATTAGTCGATGCGTGGTCTGGGAAAGGTGTATCAAAACTCAGGGTGGCTGAAGTTACTCCACCAAAGCATCCTCGAGAGGAGATGGAGAGAATTATTGCCCATTTACTGCTGCAGCAGTATCTGAAGTATGTAAGATGGGTACTTCTTTTTTTTTTTTTTTTAACATCTAGCAGTCATTTTTCCTTACTCTCGTGTTACTTTTCTTTAGTATTAATGGATAGGATACATTCTGTAGTCTCATTTTTAGTCTTTATTGCAGATGCATTTAACGTATTTCTATTTTTTCTTCTTTTTTTTTTTTTTTTTAACATCTAGCAGTCATTTTTCCTTACTCTCGTGTTACTTTTCTTTAGTATTAATGGATAGGATACATTCTGTAGTCTCATTTTTAGTCTTTATTGCAGATGCATTTAACGTATTTTAAAAAAAAAAACCTCAAAAGATTCTGTATTTCTACTTCAAAATGTTAAAACAGAAGTTGGAGGAACATTTGAAATGCTGCATCTCTTGCAGTTGTAAAAAGCTGGGGTCTTCTGTATTCAGGTTGAACGCAGTAGGCTTCATTTTGGAGAAACCTAATGTTTATACAGAGTCCATTTACATTCCATGGTTAACAAAGCAAATGGGGTTGCCCCAGATGAAGTCTAAGTCAGGACAGGCTGATTAATGTGGAAGGTGGTACTCAGAAATTTTAAAAAAGCATAGTGAAAATAACAACAGTGCTTCTCCTGTAACCTGTCTGTCTGTATGGTGTGTGGTTTGTCTTTTCAGTGGTTTAATCCTTTTATTTTTGTCTTAATTTTTTTTTTGGCATCTATTTGTACAGATGACTTTTTACACTCTAAGAGGGTGAGCAGATGACTATTACGTCTTTTTTCCTCATATTCCTCCATGTATTCCAACAGATTGACATGTCTGTGTATGTAAAGGTTCACAAACTTAACTAAGTGTTGGCCAGACTCGCTCTAAATTCAGTGACTACCCACTTGAATAGATAAAGCAGAATTAAGCTGCCATTTGGAACATCCATCAGAAGGGTCAATGTGTCCCATTTTTCCCCTGCATGGTCTAGCCTGTCTGTCTCCATCCTTCTCTTGTAACACTGATTTAAATTATGCAGGGAAGACTTCAGCTTCACGGCTTTTGCTACAATATCCTACCTGAAGATAGGACCAAAAGCAAGTTTGCTGAAAAATGAGGCACATGTCATCACTATACAAGGGATAAAAAACAAGAAAAGTGTTTACAAGGTATTTATATCTGTACTGACTTCCTATATGAATATCTTTCGATTATAGTTTAAGTTATCTAATAAATATCTGCTCAATAGTAATGCAATCAACAGGATTTAAAATAGATCTCATTATCTTCTCTCTTGTGTGGGAACACTGAAAAAGAAGGAAAGCGATGTTAGAATTTTAACAGAGTTGTTTATAACCTACAGGACAAACCATCTCAATCTTCGAATTCAAAAGGAAGCAGAGAAGATGCTCAGACTGTTTCAAAGACTGTCCAAGATTCAACAGTGAAGAACTCACAGGAACATAAACGGCCTAATTCTGGGTCTAACTTAAAAGCAAAGAAGCTTAAGCTTCAGGCAGGTGGAGATGACCAACCAGTAGTTCTTGACTGAGTTTCACAGATTACGTTTAGGATTCAATCATGTTTGCTTCTCCATGGACAATGCAGTGTGTAAGTTCTGTTTGTGTTTTAGTAATTGTATTTTTTGTCCATTTTTTTAAATTAAAAAAAAAACACAACAAAAAAACCTACAGGGAAACAAGTATCTTGAAAAAATCCATAGTCAAGGGGAAAAATACTTTGTATCAAAATAACTGGTGCATATCTTGCCATACAACAATGACTACAAAATGTAAATAATTACCTTATTGCCTTTTTAACTCTTTTGGGAGTAAATAGTAACACTATTGCAGAATCACGAAGGCTGGAAGGGACTTCCAGAGACCATCTAGTCCAACCTCCTCCTCAAAGCAGGTCCAGTTGGAACAGAGTGCTCGGCGCTGGGTCAAGTTGAGTTTTGACCATCCCCAAGGATGGAGATTCCACAATCCCTCTTAGCATCTGCTCCAGTGTTTGACCACCTTCATGACCAAAAAAAGAAAAAAGGTTATTTCTTGGAGCTAATTGTTATCTCCTGTGTTGCAACTTCTCTGTTGCCTCTTGTCCTACCACTGTGTTCTTCTGAGAAGAGTCTGGCCCCATTGCTGCTAAGATCACAACAATCACTCTGCCTCGCCCTTGGCTTATCCAGTTCTCTGCTTCTCCTCTCTAAGCCCGTGCTTCTCCTCTTTGAGTGTCTAGGCAGCTTGGTAGCCCTCTGCTAGACTCAATCCAGTGTGTCAGTGTGTTTCTCTAACTGAGAAGTGCAAAACTAAACCCAGCACTCTAGCTGTGATCTCACAAGTGCTGAATACCCAGAAAGAGTCGTTTCCCCCAAACTGTTGGTTACATTCTTGTTAATACCCTCTCCTATGCTGTTGTCACTTTTGTGCAGAGGCACGCTGCCAGTTCATGTTCAGCTTGTTATCTGCTGGGAACCTGGGTCCTTTTCTGCAAAGCTGCTTTCTAACCAGTTCAGCCCCAGCCTGTATGGTTGCATGGTGTTACTCCACTTTTTGCTTTTGCCTGTAACTTAAAGGTTCTTGGCAGCCCTTGTGTCCATCCTGTCTAGGTCCCTCTGAATAGCAGCCCTGCTCTCCAGTATATCAACAGCTCTCCCAACCTCGGTGTTGTCTGCAGACTGGCTGGAGCACGCTCCACCCCTGTATCCAGATTGATATTAAAGACCCTAAATTGTGTTGGCCTGAGTATCAATCCGTGAGCGTTGCCACTAGGAAATGGCCACCCATAGGACTCTGTACCACAGGTCCCAGTTCTTTGTACCAGGTGGTCCAGACCACTTTTGACCTATCTTGTACATTTATCTAGCCTATATCTCTCTGATGAGGAAGGTAAGGAACTTATAGGAGCTCATGTCAAAAGCCTTCCTAAAGTCAAGGTATACAACATCCAATGCAACCCCCTTATTCACACAGGCAGTTATCTCAGTCAGTCTGGTTGGTCAGGTATGCTTTGCTTCTGGTAGATCTAGCTGGCTCTTCCCAATCATCTTCATGTGTCTGAAAATGTCTTCTGGGAGTATTTACTCCTTAAGTTTGCTGGGGGCTGAGGTGAAGCTGACTGGCATGTAACTGCTTAGGCCCTCTCTTTTTTGCAGATGGGTGAGATATGGACCTTTTCCCAGTCATCAGGAACCTCCCCCAGTCTCCAAGTCCTTTCAGAAGCGACAGTCTTGCACTGACCTCAGCCAGATTCCTGAATGCCCCTTGGTGCAGCCCATCTGCTCCTGTGGGTTTGTGTATGATCTGAAACTCCACCTTCCCTGATTGCTTTACTCCCACAGACAGCAAGTAGGCTCGGGAACCTGAGAAGTCTGAGGGGCAAACCTTACCAGCAAAAACGGGGCAAAAAATATGAGTACCTGAGTCTTTTCCATGTCCTGTGTCACTAGCTCCTCTGAGCAGTGGGACCATACTTTCCTTACCCTTCCTTTTGCTGCTGAGGTACTTAGAGAAGCTCTTCTTACTGCCTTTCACATCCTTTGCTAGTTCCACCTCCAGCTGAGCACTGACTTTTCTAACTCCCTCCCTGCGTGCTCAGGCAATGTCTCTTTTCTGGTTGTCTTGTACCTTCTGCCTCCTTTTTGTGCTTGAGCTAGCTGAGGAGTTCTCTGTTCACCTGTGCTGGCCTCCAGCCATGCTTCCTTTGCCTTCTGCGCATAGGAATAGACCCTTTGTGTTTTGAGGAGGTTGTGGTTTGGAAATCAATCAGCTCTCCTTGAGCCCCTTTGCCTTCCAGGGCAGTCTCCCTGGGATCCCTCCCAAGCAGATCCCTGAACAGGCTGAAATCTTCTCTCCTCAGGTCCAAGGTTCTACTATCTCTTCCTCATGTCTGTGTTGAGTTTGAAGGTGTGAGTCGCAGTCACTGAGTCACCTGAAATCTGGGCACCTGGTGAAAAAGAAATCTGTTGACATCTCCAAGTCAATGCCAGCCTCTGTCCCTTACAGGAGGGATTCTCTGGTAACTCTCATTTCCCTTTTCCTCGTTGTGTGAACGTTTGGCTTAGGTTCAGCTGGCATTGATGTGGAGTCGTCATCATCATCGTCATCGTCTCTCAGTACCTACTCTGCGATGGCAGAGTTCCGGGTGGAAAAGGAGCCCTTTTGTGTTGCTGGAAGCAAGAGGTTTTCAGCTCTCCCTCCCGTGAGGGTACTCTCAAGGTGTTCCCTCCTTTGCAGCACAGGGCTCGGGTGCTCCTTAGCTCTGCAGAGCCTCTGTGAAGACCCTGCCGTGTCCTGTTCCTCCTACTGGCTGCTACGCAGGCTGCTCACCTCCTCCTGCAGCTCTTTGACCCAGCAACTTGGCACTGCAACCAGACCACAGCTCTTGCTGGTGAGGCTGCTGTCCCCAACCCCAGGGAGGGATATCAGGAGGCTGGAGGCACCCCCTTCCTCTGGAGCCACCGTGGATCAAAGCCTCAGCTGTGCCAGGGGCAGTTGTTCCAGCCCACGCGGGCATCGCTGTCGCTGCAGTCTTGAGCAGAGATGGGGCCTGTTTCAGCAATACTTACACCTGGGATGTGGCAATCCCAGGCACAAATACAGGTTGGGTGGAGAATGGCTGGAGAGCAGCCCTGAGGAGAAGGACTTGGGGGTCTTGGTGGGTGAGAAGCTCAACATGAGCCGATAGTGCACACTGGCAGCCCAGAGAGCCAACCCCATCCTGGGCTGCATCAAGAGAAGTGTGGCCAGCAGGTCAGGGAGGTGATTCTACCCCTCTGCTCTGTGCTCGTGAGACCCCACCTGGAGCACTGTGTCCAGCTCTGGAGTCCTCAGCACAGGAAGGACATGGACCTGTTGGAACGGGTCCAGCGGAGGGCCACAAAGATGGTCAGAGGGATGGAGCACCTCTGCTGTGAAGACAGGCTGAGAGAGCTGGGGGTGTTCAGCCTGGAGAAGAGAAGGCTCCAGGAGACCTCACAGCAGCCTTCCAGTACCTGAAGGGAGCTACAGGAGAGCTGGGGAGGGACTCTTTGTCAGGGAGTGCAGTGACAGGACAAGGGGGAACGGTTTTAAATTGGAAGAGGGGAAATTTAGATGAGATACCAGAAAGAAATTCTTTGCTGTGAGGGTGGTGAGACCCTGGAACAGGTTGCCCAGAGAAGCTGTGGCTGCCCCATCCCTGGAGGGGTTCAAGGCCAGGCTGGATGGGGCTTGGAGCAACCTGGTCTGGTGGGAGGTGTCCCTGCCCAGGGCAGAGGGGGTGGAACTGGATGATCTTTGAGGTCCCTTCCAACCCAAACTATTCCGTGATTCTACTGCAGCGTGTGAGTGCTTTAGTGTACTTCAGAGAAGAATTTCAACAGGGCATTGTGACAACACGGCACTACTGCTGACGTGCAGAGATTTTTGTGAAATATTGTATGTATTTATTCCTTTAAAATATGGCCGTTGCTCTCACAACGGGTTTTCTGTAGCTTGTAAATAGAAAATTACTACTGTGCTTTTCAGAAGTACCTACATTTCTATTTAAAAACAAGACAGCTTTTCTTGACCTCAGCCGTTCCCTTTTACAAAAGTTATACTCTACAGGGGAAATACAGAAAAAAGGCCACTCAAGAAATATTTTCTCTCCTGTTTTTTTCCTCCTCCTTCCCCGTTGAATTGGTTTATATTCCAACTACAGATCTCTATTCTGGTTAGAAGTGACTCTGGTTGTCCTACGAAATACTCTTCTGCTCTGTAAGCACTAGAACGTGACTGCATAGACTTTAAGCCCTAAACGTGGGGTACGTTAATCTTTGGGAGGTTTCTGATTTCCAGTCTCTTAACTCTGCCACCCCACCCGTTTGCTAAGAGGAAAAAAAAAAACCAAAAAGAGAGAAAGCCAAGTCCAGGAGGGCATCGCCGCCGCTGGCTGTGGCTTAGAGTGTCTCTGCTGTTTCCAAGAGCAGCCTGTCTCTTTCGACTCAGCTGCGGCCCCTTTCACCCGAGGGGTTGTGTCTGGGTAGGAGAGGCCGGCACTCGGTGCGGCACATGTTCTGCCCTCACCTCGGCCCACACAGCTGAGGGCTGAGGGCAGTCAAACACCCCTCTGGGCCAGCGCTGCCCGTGTTTCTCCAGAAGACACGGGTTCAACGCAAACCGGTAACAGTTGAGAGAAGATGATTACAAATTAAGAGTAGAACAGAAGCCAGGAGTTTATAAGCTGTTTTCACAAGTAGTGGGAATTTGATAATTCAGCAATTATGGTCGAATTTTCATTCCGAGTTTTGGAACTAGATTGAAGCTGTTATTTTTTTTCCTTTTTTTTTTTTCCCTCTAGAAAGACATGAACATTTTTTTTAGTTGCCCCGTCCTACCTTCTGCAGTGAGCAATGAAGTGTGTGCCTCGAAGCCCTTTTTCTTTCCAGGCCTAACCTCACCCCTTCACCCAACCCCGTCCTCCTGAACTGCGGCCATTCTACACAAAGGCCTTTCCCCAGTGCTCTCTAGGGACTGAAGAAAATCTCCCCCTACGGGATTCTTTCGCCTCCCGTTTCAGCAGGGAGACCGTTTACCTGTATGGAAAGCAGAAACACGTACCTGTTGACGTCCTTTGATCGGTGTTTCCGGGAACAAGGAGCTGTGCTGCCAGACTGGGAAAGGCCCAACAGTTACTGTGGACGTCGAGCATTTGCTGAGGTACACGTGAGACTGAATGCTAGATTACATTTTTAATTGGTTTCTTTTTTTTAAGATCTTAGCAGCCAACGAACGATCAGTAAAGCGAGTTCAAGCTCATTATGAACTTAAGTTCTGGTAGGTTTCATTTCAGTTTCCCACACACACATTCAGACGTACACCAACTTAAATACAAAACAAACGTGATTAAGAACACGCTCTTCATCTTTACTTTTCTGGTAGAATCTTGTCAGTGACTAAAGCCTAGTATTTCACTCATCATTTAACTGAAAACTTTGCCAAAAGTGGAACTGATTTAACTTGAACTCTTAAAAAATAGTGATTTTTCTGGGAGAATTCCCAGTGTGGACTAACAGCTTTGCACTTAGTGGAGTACAACAGACTGTTCCCAGTTTGACCCTAAACAAACAGCAACTCCCAAGTAGCAATTGTAGAACCAGCCCAAAAGCCAGTTTGAAACAACCCGATGTCCATGGATGGACAGAGAGGGTATTATGGAATAGCTTTAAAATCTTGGGCTTTATCACCTAGATACTAAATTACACCTAGCAACTAAAAAAGAAGGAACTTGATTGAAGCAAGACCGTGTGTACGTGTCACTATTATTAAAGTGCATTTGCAGAACTGAACATACAGGCAGGGAGCCAGTTACAGCTGAAAACAGACAGCTCAGACCCCCAGGGGCAACTTAATAGTAGGCATTTGGTCACTAGTTGCCCCAAGTCAAACTGGAGTTCTGTACCTGCAGAAACTCCTTCCTGGAACCGATGAGATGAGGAGAGGGCAGAAAGCGGCCAAGACACATGGTATCCACAAAGGTGTTAATTAAGTGACTGTCACAGTTGCCGACTAAGAATCCCACCAGGATATAGGACTTCCATGCAAAATTGCATCCAGCGCCATCTCCCACATCGTCTGTTGCACAGGCTCTTGCAGGGAAGGACCGGCAGGTGCCACCCAGCAGTGCTGGTGTGTCAGCCTTTCGTTGCAGTGCCCTGCACCCTGATGCTGGGGGAGATGAGGCGGGATGCACCAGTGCAGCTCCACCACAGCTCAAGTGATGAGCAGTGAAAAAAGCTGCTCTCAACTGACATCTCATCCTGGCCTTCCTCTGTCAAAGGCTCTGTGTAGCTGAGTAGCAAATACATTTATTTCAGTAATAAGCATAGGAAAACAGTAACATAAATATAAGCATCCATCTTGCCATGTATTTGCAGACCATGTTCCAGGCAGAGCTCTGAGGGCCCTGTGCCCTCAAGATGTTTCCGGTTAATCTGTGCCGGTGTGACAGAGATGGTACCAGTAGCTGGAACAGAAGCCTTGGAAGCTGGGGCAGGTACTGGGAGGTGTGAGCAGCGGAGGGGAGCTGGGAGGGGAACGCCGTGCCTGGCTGCCTTCTAAAGGTCCATGTGGGCCTTAGGAAGCAGTGGGTTTCCCACCCTAGCCAATACTCACACCCCCAAACCCAGAGGTAGCTTCAGGCTGGTAAGGCAGCACCATCACTGCACTTCTGAGGAGAAGGATCTGGGGGTCCTGGTTGACAGCAAACTCTCCATGAGCCAGCAATGTGCCCGTGTGGCCAAGAGGCCAGTGGGATCCTGGGCTGCGTAGGGAAGAGTGTGGCCAGGAGGTGGAGGGAGGTCATTCTCCCCCTCTGCTCTGCACTGGGGAGGCCACAACTGGAATCCTGCCTCCAGTTCTGGGCTCCCCAGTTCAAGAGGGACAGGGAACTGCTGGAGAGAGTCCAGCGTAGGGCAACAGAGATGATGGAGGGATTGGAGCATCTCCCTCATGAGGAAAGGCTGAGAGAGCTGGGGCTCTTTAGCCTGGAGAAGAGAAGGCTGAGGGGAGACTTTATCTGTGTTTGCAAGTTCCTAAAGGGTGGGTTGAAGGAGGATGGAGCCGGACTCTTCTCAGTGGTTCCCAGTGACAGGACGAGGGGCAACGGGCACAAGCTGGACCATGGGAAGTTCCACTCCAATGTGAGGAAGAACTTCTTTGGGGTGAGGGTGGCAAAGCCCTGGCAGAGGCTGCCCAGGGAGGGTGTGGAGTCCCCTTCTCTGGAGATCTTCAAGCCCCACCTGGATGCTCCTGAGTGATGTTCTCTGCGGAACCCTGCTTTGGCAGGGAGTTGGACTGGATGGTCTCTAGAGAGTCCCTTCCAACCCCAACAACTCTGCGATTCCATGATCACATCAAGAGGGGCTTCCTGGTTGAGATGAGGAACATGCAGGACAGTAAGCCATTGGGAAACCAGGCTCAGGTAATCACGGCAGGTGAATTACACATAGTCTGGGGACAAAGGGAGCTGTGGGGCAGGCACTGGCTTTAACATTTTTAAGTTTACTTTTAGAACTGAGGGCTACCTCGCATTCAAACGAATGCGGAGTTACCTTAACAGCACAGTGAAGCCCACTTTTTAAGAGTGTCACAGCCCTGTTCTCATACAGTTGTCTAATTTAGCCAAAAATTCTTTGTCAGCGCTAATCCACTTGTTTTTGTTGAAGCATTTCTACACAGATTAATTTAATTTGCAGGTCAGTATTTTGACAAGATCAACACAAGATCTTTAGTAAGGAATTGCACTTATCCCTCATTTCTGGTAATCCTGAGGAAAGAGTTTTGCAAGACATACTACTCGGTGTCAAAACTTTATACAAAAAGGAAACGGGGTTTTGTTCAATCAAAATAATCTTCTATATCAATATCTGGATTCAGGAGATCTTCACCATAGGCTGAAAGATCCATTTGATTTAAAATTAAGTTTTCAAAGGTTTCTTCCAAGTCCGTTTCACCAATCAGCACTGCTCCCATCATTCGGCCATTCTGCATCACTACTTTAACATACTCTTGTCCCTTGGTACATCTCAGCATCAGCTCATGGTCTAAACCCAAGCCCTGAGCGTTGTATTTTCCCAGAACCACCACCTAAGAGAAGGAAAAAGAAAAAGCCCTCGTAAGGTCATTGCAGTGGCTTTTGGTATTCCTGCTGATAACATTCCTAAGCTTCAAAAAACTGATGTTAAAACAGGAAAATCTTTGTCCCTAGAGAACCTCCCCCCTTCATGGGCTTTCAAACCCACATCAGAATTAAAAATACTCACCTTGAAATATACACAAAAAACAATAATGAACCAGTTACCGTGCTCAACTGTACTGAATCTAGGAACAGAACCTTAATGAAATGCAATATATAGAGATGCAAATTAGATGAGTGCCACTCACCAATTAAAATGTGTAATATTGAATCATAGAATGGTTCAGGTTGGAAGGGACCTTAAAGATCACCCAGTTCCAACCCCCCTGCCCTGGGCAGGGACACCTCCCACCAGACCAGGTTGCTCCAAGCCCCATCCAGCCTGGCCTTGAACCCCTCCAGGGATGGGGCAGCCACAGCTTCCCTGTGTAAAGATCTTTGTCCTCTTCAGTTTCAACATTCAAAGTTAGTATGAAGAGAGAAAATCTAAACTAATATTAATTATTTTATAGAAAAAAATATCAATATCAAGCTTCATCAATATCAAGCTTCATCAATATCAAGCTTCATCAATATCAAAGCATCTGCTCAGTGTTGGCAAGTGGATACAGGCAAGCAACACGTGATACTCAGTGGTTGAAGACTATTAAACTGTATTTACCTTGTAATTGAAAAATTTTGTAACATGAGCAAATAGTTCAAAGCTGAAATCCAGATCAATAGGTTCCCCTGAAGTATCTGCTGCCATGCATTTTGCTGCATACCATCCCATCTGCCTGGCTTGAGTCCACAGTCTCATCTAATCAAAAAGAAAAAGAAGAAAAAACAGGACAGATTTAAGAACACAGATACCTGTCACCATGCACTGACCAACGCTCGCTGTCAACGCACCTTCCATTATACTCAGCAAGCCTGAACAGCCTGGCTTTCCGCCACTGAGATAAAGTGATCTGCCATCAACACACCCAGGACGATCTACTCGTTCGCTGGTTTCCGCTTCAATCGAGCTTTATTTTCTCCCCTCAGTGTAACAGTGTGTGATTTACCGTGCAGGACTGACGTACCTGATGCCACACTGGACTGGGCTCCCAGGACGCCGTGCAGATATCCCCCGCCGCATACACCCCTGGCAGGGACGTGCGCATCTGTTTATCGACCTTCAGACCTCCGTCTGCACCTACAGCGAACTAAAGCGTTTGCACAGATCAGCAATAAGAAAAATAACCATTTAAACCAAGTAATTCCACTTTCATCCACGTTTAGCACTCATTTCATTTGTTATGTTTTAACGACAGACTCCTAAAAAAACCCCACAGGGGTGTTTCAGGTGTCGCCGAGCAGCGTTTCGACTGTCTTCATCTCAACCCATGAGTTTTCTCACTTCCAACCCTTCCCCGACCCCACTGGGGGAGTCGTCCACATTTGGATGCCGATTCAAAGTGTGACTTCCCTCAATGAATATGAACATCTTTATAACTCAGTTTTCCTAGATGAAAATTATTGGAAATAACTGTTTACTTCCTAGGAGAAAATGTTAAGATTCGTAAGATAAAAATATGGTGCAGAATTAACACAAAAACTATTCTAAATTTTTGCCACATCATTCATTTCTACAGATGTTCTTCTCCGCATAGCCTTAATCTTAACAGTATCTATTGTATCAGTACATATCACGAGTAGCAATATAATAAGCTAAGAGTGCTAATAATTTTTATCATGTTAGGCACTTCCAGTATCAACAATTCTGAAATGCTTTCAAAAACATTCAAAATGCTTTCAAAAACATTTCATCCAAAACCTTTATCAACCAACGTTTCACATCAGAAGCATAAACCAGCTGAAAGAGCTTATTTCACCTCACTTAAGAAAAACAGCATAAACTTCAAAAGAGATCAGTGCACTTACATTGTTGCCATCAAGAAATGGTTCGACATTTGGCACAACCCCAGTGGCGCTGACGATGAAATCGCATCCATAAATTTTTCCGTTAGTTAATTCCACGTATACAGGCCAGAGCACTGAAAAAGAAGAAAATTTTGCCCTGAGAATGTAACCAACAGAAGTTATTTTCTTAATGATGTCTTCTTATAAGTCATGAAATTAACAAAACAAAAAAGCCAACCCTATCTTTTGAAATATCTAACTTATTAGGTAGGGAAAAAATAAAAATAAAATACATTTTAAAACTCCCCAAACCAGACATTACCTCTAACATTTCTTACCTTCACCCAGGACTAGAAAAATGAGATTTTGGAGCTTAGCTCCAAGTCCTACTCTTAACTTTCTCTGGAATTTTCCTAAATCAAAGCCCTCATTTGTAGGGGAAAAATACTGTGTCCTGCCACTGCTTCAGAGCCATGGGATGATCTCTGATGTACAGAATTGCCAAATATTCTTCTACATATAAATTTACAAATGCACAGGAACTGCCTCAAAAGCAAGAAGAATGTCAGACATTTGACTTCCTAGAATCTTATGCTGAGAGTAACTGGCTACTAAAATAGTATTTTAAATATTACTTTTCATTTAGTGGAATTTATAGATAGAATCATTGACAAAACAATGATACTTTCTATTTTCTTTGAAGGATTACATCAGCTTTGACACTAAATGGGTTTTTTTTGCTTCTCTTTTAACTCCACTACTAATATATGGTTTTATTGGACACAAGGAGGGAATATTTTGCACTCGGGATGCAGGTGACACTGTGGGAAAACGGTCTGACCCGTAACATTTTACAATTCAACTGTAGTCTATTAATCAAATTCTCAACTACTATAAATTGCTAGAGCTCCATTTACTTTATAGAAATAAAGGATTTTTTTTTTCAAATCTGTATTTGCTCTAAAACAGCAAACAAGATCAAACAAGCTCCAGCACTGTTTCATCTTCAATGCGTTATTTCTGGTCAGCACTGGCACCTACCCTCATCTGCTTCTACATTTTTCTCATCCTTAGGAAAAGTCAAAGAAGTCCGTTGCAGTTGTATAAATTCTTGCTGTAAGTGTATTTTCTTTACTTCACATAGTATTTCAATATGTACTTTATGAGAAAACTAAAGAAAGATTGACAAAATTGTAAACATGATGATAAGCAATAACAGTATTTTTAATAGCAAGTAACCTTCACCTTAATTGACTTGTTACTAAACCGGGAAAAAAACCAACCAAACCCCAAACCAAACAAACATCCCATCCTAAAGTATGACACATCAGCTGAGTTCTCATGCTTTGTCCCTTTTTTGGCACAGATCTAATCACAGCAAATGGCAATTTACCTGCTTTTTCAGCAAATCTCTGGTGTTCCATGAAACTTCATGACAATTTATATTTTTCTGGCATGCCAGAAAACATACTCAAGTTCCCCTGAGTTTACAGGAAGAGAATTCAGAACTTATCAGAACAGAAAAAAAAATTAAACCCATCTTTTCTGTCTTTAAGGATTTAAAATCCTTCATTTTTCTATGACAAATTAAATTCTGATAATGGTAAGTTTACGTTTGAAATGCTATAAAAAGAAAATATATCCTGTTCGGTCAACACGTATTTCAACCACTTACTCTTACTCTGAGCTCGGGACAGAAGTTGGAAAGTTACCTGTTTCTCTGAACTATTTTGTGGATTCAGGCCCAGAACTGCTTTATTCTCCACAACACAAATACATTTCCACAGCCTTCAACAGCAAAAATGCCACCAATTAATCTCCTGAATATTCTAAATATCCTTTAGTTGGCCCTGTAAAGCCATTTCTGGTAGAATCTATGACTGATCTCCTCTGAAAGGCTTTTTTTTCTTTTTCTTAAATGTATGTAACAGATGCAAACATCTAAGAGTTAAGAAATTAATAAATAAACTTGATGAAAAATATGAAGTGTGAGGATTTGTCCACTACTGATTTCACATTTCATGACCTGCTGTGACAAAAGACTGATGTTCCCTGTACCTCTGTACAAATCCTACTGTCCTGTTTTTTACAGTAGAAAACATATATATGGCAGCTAAAATCAGTGCAGTAGAGGTACTGCTGCTTCTGGTTAAAGCTGGGATCGACACCAGTCCTACAAAAAGATGCAAACCAACATTTATACTTAAATCTGAAGAGCAAATTGCTAAAACCACACCAGTGGACCACCTTCTTCAAGCAGAAAATTACTTTGTTATTATTAACGTATTGCCCTGTTCAATTCTGACAGGAGAATCGATTCAAACACATTTTATTTTTATTTTTCTAAGAATCCTGCATGTGACATTTCACTTTCTGTCATCCTTACCCACTGAAAGCAACAGTTAAAACAAATGTAAGCACGATGACGACCGTACCTCTTTAGTCCCTTTAAGGTGTAAGCCCTCGTGCCAGTCGGGGCCCAAGGCACTGCCCAGTTTGTCAGAGGCTGCTGCAGGTCCCTCTGTTTCCTCGCTCCCTGAAGGAGAGAGTTGCAGAATTATCAGATTCAGCCTGTACGCTTCACTGCCTGCAGAATTCTTCTGAAGGATTCCCAATTAAGAGAAATACGATCAGTTTGCCAGAAGGGAAGACAAAAATGCATAACGTTCCAAAACCCATTAATTTGCTGACAAATCACACTCCAAGCCAATATTTTTCACACCTTTCAACTCGAGGCCTTTCATTATTTCACTCACCTCCGAAACAACCGCGCCACTCTTAGGTGCCTGCCTGGACCCGGAACAGCCCGACTCCAACAGCACCAGGGTTCTGGAGACCCACTGTAGACTTAATTGCTTAATATCACTGCTAATACTTAAATGTAATTAAATATTTGAAGTCCACCTGCTAGCAGGTGTGCACTGTCCCCTCCGCTGCATGGAAGCACTAAAATACTGTGATAAATCTGAAGAACATCGGGTGCCGTTTTGTGATGTTTAGGCCAACTCTTTTATAATTTATTCTTCCATCCTGAAGTCTAGAACCACGCTCTTCTTTTTGTTATTATTTTAGTCATATATGTGTGTGTGTAATATTTGTTCATGCAGTTCTAGTTGACTCTTGTTATTAAGCCTGCAGTTTCACTGCATCCGTAATGATGTTCCGTGAGGTGTCACCTGGTCCTCCCGTAGCTTGTTACGGGAGTGCACCTTCCTACTTGATGCTGACATAGTTTAGAAAACCACTGAGAATGACAGAACAGGCTCTTCAGCAGATGGAATACAGGGAATGAAATGTAAAATTGGCACAGACATAAAAAGGCATTTTTTACAGATTTTAGGTAAGCGTATTACGTGCTGTTCTGTGTCCCATTACTTGTCCCATACACGGATGGGTTTTCATACAGCTTTTTTACTTTTTTTTTTTTTAAAGAAGGAAATGCCATTGATGATAACAGTAAACCTTATTTATGGCCTGTTAAATTAACTGATCTTTAATATGAAATGCTGCTGCTGCAGTGTTAGAAGACTAAACCACCTTACCTTCCATGGTATACTTGGTTCTTTTACATGCAATCGGAGTCTCTCGTTGTTCAGCGGTCAGCTTTGGGATGAGAAACTCAGCTGCTCCCGCGTCAAAAAAAGTGTTCCCGATGGCTTTGTCTTTGATGGCCCAGATTACTTCGCAGCCTTGAATTTCATACCTGTGGACATTTAAACAACGGAATAAAGTGACCAAAAAAGGATCTGACTCTTAGCAACACAACCAGAAGCATGCCAGGTTTCATTCCAGAAGCTAGAAATGAGGCACCCAAGACTTTTAGACCTATCAAATCCACTGCTGCTTCTAAATATTTACATAAGGAACACATTAAAAAAAAAAAACCCAAACTCTTCAAGTTGACAGGTCATATTTTCTCACCAGCACAACCTCAGGTGAACTGTCCCCACTGCATGAGGGGAGATAGATCAAATTTATAATAATAATAATACTTAGTATTTCCTGCTCCCCACAATGAAAAAACCATGCATTTTTTGCCGGATTGCCCACTACTAAGAGCAGGCATTTGCATCTTGTTTGTATGAACTGGAACATGAACCAGTAGAGACATGCAAAGGAAAAGTTAATGCAAGTGAAAAAGTGATTCCCTGCAACACAATCCAAGACCATCTAGTTGTGTAGAGCAGATGTTGCTGTCATCTAGCAGACTGCAGGACCACAGGGTTCAATCTCCTACCTGTGACAAAGGCTGTGCCAGACACTTCAAAAGCTCCATCAACTTAAACTAGCAAGATAAGCTGCCTCTCTATCCCTCTTACATCTTTTGTCTCCAGAAGTCTCACCAGTTTTGTAGCTTAAGTATTGCCTTTGAGATCTTTGTTGGTACCAAATCAGAAAAACCACTGTATATACTTAACGTCTGTCTCAAAGCTTGGTCTGAAGCTTCCTGAGTTTTATATGACAGTAAACACTACAATACTGTGGGGAAAAAAATATTGTAATCAATTTTGCTACTAAATGCTTTAAGAGTTACAATTTTATAAGTCAACCTTCCCCCAAACTCATTACAAATGAGGGTAATTTAGCACACTAGATTTATCATGAAACTGTTAAAGATTTTATTTGCATATTTATCTTTAAAACGTAGTCATTTACTTACACTAATTCAAGTGCAATGCCACCGTTTCCTACCACTACTATTCTCTCAGCTTGGGCCAATTTCTTCTGAAAAGCCTGCATTAAGAAAGAAAAAGTCAATTACACCATGTTTCTTCACACTGATTAATTACATCCTTTTCTATATTTTCTTGCTCTCTTAGTCTTCTTATTTTGATTTTCTCAGACAACTGATGCGCATTTACTTATGCTAAGATCTGCTACAGAAGCTAATGAAAGTTCTCTCACATCAAGGGATGAAGTTAATGATTCAGCCTTACAAGTCTCAATTTGAGACAGGAAAAGTTAAATAACTATATTTAAGTCAGTTTGACAGAGCCCTTCATAGAATCAAGGAGACTTTTCTGTCCTTGGGACTGTTGGCTTTGTGATACCTATTAATCCAGTTTTATCATGATTTGCGTAACTGTCACAGTAGTTTGCCTAACATTAAAAAGACAAAGATACAGAATTTTAGGAATTTGAAAATTCCTGATCAAAAATCAGGAATTAAAAAAAAATAATTTGTAGCGCATCAAAGAACCAGTTCTCCGAATCCATCCTTGTGGTGAGAGAAATAAAAAAATATATAGCCCAGTCAGTGTTTTTTAGATCAAGATACAACCACTTCAACTATTTTCTTTCGAACAAATCAAGAATCACAACTATCAGAACAACTATTGCAATTACACGAAAATCTGTTCATCCAAGCTTCCAGTTTAGCTGACTAATTGTATCAGAGAACCTAAACTGTAAAACGCCGTGAAAACCGCAGTTCTTTAATCCCTTCAGAGAAGGATACTGAAGTTTTATCAGAGGTGACTGGTGAATGCAATCAGTCACCATTAAAAAAAAACACCAAAAAACAAACCCCAAGCCCAGAAACAAGTAGTTTCAGTCAAAGTTCAACATCAGTTTTGACAAATGATAGCCCAGTCTACGGTTTCCCACAGTGGCAAATGGTGGATGCACAGGGAAGACCATCAGAAGACAACAAGCATATGACAACACTACCCTGGAACACCGTCACAGGCTCCAGACATTGCTTGTGCCGCTCGGGTGGCATCTTTCTCTTCAGTTTAGATAACATCAATTTATCAAGGGCTGTCTTTTTTGTGTGTTTTTTCTTCCCTCAATTTCTTCTGAAAAGCCTGCATTAAGAAAGAAAAAGTCAATTACACCATGTTTCTTCACACTGATTAATTACATCCTTTTCTATATTTTCTTGCTCTCTTAGTCTTCTTATTTTGATTTTCTCAGACAACTGATGCGCATTTACTTATGCTAAGATCTGCTACAGAAGCTAATGAAAGTTCTCTCACATCAAGGGATGAAGTTAATGATTCAGCCTTACAAGTCTCAATTTGAGACAGGAAAAGTTAAATAACTATATTTAAGTCAGTTTGACAGAGCCCTTCATAGAATCAAGGAGACTTTTCTGTCCTTGGGACTGTTGGCTTTGTGATACCTATTAATCCAGTTTTATCATGATTTGCGTAACTGTCACAGTAGTTTGCCTAACATTAAAAAGACAAAGATACAGAATTTTAGGAATTTGAAAATTCCTGATCAAAAATCAGGAATTAAAAAAAAATAATTTGTAGCGCATCAAAGAACCAGTTCTCCGAATCCATCCTTGTGGTGAGAGAAATAAAAAAATATATAGCCCAGTCAGTGTTTTTTAGATCAAGATACAACCACTTCAACTATTTTCTTTCGAACAAATCAAGAATCACAACTATCAGAACAACTATTGCAATTACACGAAAATCTGTTCATCCAAGCTTCCAGTTTAGCTGACTAATTGTATCAGAGAACCTAAACTGTAAAACGCCGTGAAAACCGCAGTTCTTTAATCCCTTCAGAGAAGGATACTGAAGTTTTATCAGAGGTGACTGGTGAATGCAATCAGTCACCATTAAAAAAAAACACCAAAAAACAAACCCCAAGCCCAGAAACAAGTAGTTTCAGTCAAAGTTCAACATCAGTTTTGACAAATGATAGCCCAGTCTACGGTTTCCCACAGTGGCAAATGGTGGATGCACAGGGAAGACCATCAGAAGACAACAAGCATATGACAACACTACCCTGGAACACCGTCACAGGCTCCAGACATTGCTTGTGCCGCTCGGGTGGCATCTTTCTCTTCAGTTTAGATAACATCAATTTATCAAGGGCTGTCTTTTTTGTGTGTTTTTTCTTCCCTTTTCTCCTCTTTCCTTTTTTTTTTTTTTTAATTTTTTCTTTTTTAAAACTCAGGTAAAGTTTTAATACTCAAACCAAACAACAACAATTTCACAGTTTCACTTCAGTTTCCTTGAAAAGGTTAACTCCTTTTTTATTTTCAACATCAAATTTCAGTTGATGAATTACAGTTCTTATGTTACGGAGAAGCAGTGTTTACTTTCACCTTGCCTCCTCTAATTCTAAACAGTAATGAAACCTCACTTTCTACTTCCAAGCTGAAGTTTTAGTCTATTATTTCCTCATGTCACAATTTTTCCTCTTCTTTGCCTTTAAAGGTAACTCTTCTGTACCATAAGGAGAGGCTACAGTAGAACTAGGAAAAAAGTGTCCTTCCAAAGTTTTTCAGTGTAAGTAGCCACCCTTCATACCCTGTACCAGATACACCTTCTCAGGGAAGTTTCTACTGGTACCTACTTCTTGTTTATATTTTCAGATTGGCTTCTGCCTGGAGGGTAAAAAGAATACCATTTATTCTAGATTATCATGTTAGAAACAATGCCTATGAGCTACCTATAAACTTAATAAATTTACTGACTAGTTAATTTATTTAACGGTACTTTAAGGCTATTTCTCTGCTACTGAAAGTGTTCCTATTTAAGGAGATAGAACAACAAACATCATCTTACGTTTCTCCACTTCACTCCACAACCATTTTTAGTGTTTTGCGTCAGAAGCAGGAATATATTATACACTGATAAGTCCAAAACACGTTTACCTGTGCACTGTCAGTGTCCCGGATTCCTAACACATATGGGTTTCCTTCAAAAATTAATTTTGGTTTTGCTCCAGCACACAGGCAAAGCTTTTCATACATATATTCCTTCCCATCTTCGGTGAAAATTTTCTGTAAAAATTTAGAGAAAAGAAAAAACAACTAAAGACATCTAAGAGAACATCAGGTATTTTTTTCCCTTAATGTCATCATATTTTGCAGGTATTAAAAGCTGTAGCTGGCTTCTTGAAGAGCAAGCCTTCATACTCACCTTGATTGTGTGTGATTTAGTTGCGTTACACTCACAACTGACTTACAAGCCTAAATATATGACATTGTCTGATGAATAAAATGGCAAGCGTACACAGTGCACTCAAAGGAAGATTAAATACAAAGATTACCACTTGGTGGCACTCCGTACTCACCACCTGTGCTAGAAAAAAACGATTTTCTATGTGACATGTCCCCCCAACCCCAGTAACAGGTGCAGACCTGTGCAGTACTATACAGCAGAAATTAAGAATCTCACTCAAAACATTTCAACAACAGCAGACCCGTATTCACTTAACGACACACAGGCTGGAATATAACTTGGAAAGATCACAAATTCTGTTTTTTGTTAAAGAAAAAGGGCAGTCATTGAAGAAGGTACATCATTCTGCAGCAAGCAATACTTAAAATATAACATTTTATGATCCTACTTGTTATTTTCTAAATTATAAGCTAAAAAGTGTACAGCGAGTTTGCACAAAGAGACTTTTTAATGGTTTTTGGAAAACCGAAGCAAAAGATCCTTCAAATCCATATCCATGAAATATTCTTGTTCACAGAGACATACCAGAACTAAAACATTGCAATAACGATACAAGAATATAATTCAATTCAGAATATTAGCAAATTACAATCTAACCAGAATCATATCTCTGTGACCTAAAACAAGCAAGAGCAATTTGTGATTTAAATTTCTGATAAATGCTGAAGTGAAAAATAACGTGTCGAGTTGACACAGACACTAAAAAGGACCTGTGTGTGCTGTACACTCCTCATACTTGCAACGTATTTCCTGCTAAAAAGAAAGAAGAAAAGGTGGAAATGTTGGTTCTTTCAAGAATTATTGAGTTTTTTATCATAAAGTTGTTAATGTTTTGGTCTCTGTAGCAACAAGCAGTAATTCAGGAATCAAAGGGATCTCCAGTGAAGGGTTACAGGAATTTTGACACCTATATTTATGTATAGTACTGGTTTCATTGACTGGTTTCCCTGCTATTCTAATCAGGTATTCAGTGATGTATCTCTAAGGTTTCAAAGATTTACATCTAAAAGATATGGTTTCTTAATTAAGAAGTGATTTTTGATCAACAATTATGTCCCCTGCATATAATTCTACTTGAACAACACTGTGATAAGTGAAATTCAAGTTAGGAAGTATTTTTTTGAAACTTTGGTAACTTAGCACTTTAATAGCCAGAATGTTCTTCAGCAGAATTTCATGCCCAAAATACTAATTTGTTTCTTAGATTATTTATTTAAAATAGTTTGAAAAACCACAGAAAAGTGAAAGAGAAAAACATTAGCTTACGTGTTCATCACTTTTCAATTGTTTTACTCCAGACTGTATAACTTTAATATTGGGATATCGTTTCTCTAATAGAGAACTTGGCTGCTCTTCTACATCAAATTCCTCAAGTGTTTTGGAGACCTGTAGGAAGACAACAAGTATTAAAAAATATGAATAACTTATTCATCTCTTTTTCTAAAGCTTCTAAAGAAGTCACAACACAAAACCCATATTGTCTCAAAACATGTTACTGCTAAAAGTTCCTTTTTATGTACAGAATCTTTTCATGGTGTATTCCTGGTAAAGAATCAAGGTAGTACAGAGAATTTTAATTCTAAAGCTAGAAATTAAGCAAAAATGGAGATTCAGGATGGCCGCTCTAACTGCTACAATGCTTTATTCCATAAATAGCTGATATTGTTAGAGTTGTTAATGCTGCTTTTTAACTTACCTGATGCAGCGTTAATACCCTGGTTTTCTGTTTGTTTTAATGTGGATAAAATAACTCAATGAGGTTCTCCCATGCAACACCTTCTGCTCCTTGGCATTTGAGGAAAAAAATTTTTATAAAAATAGCTTAAAGAATTATAGAAACACTTTTGTCTGGAATAAATATTAAAAAAAAAATCTGGTGATATTTTTGCCAAAAACCTAATGATTCAAAATCCTCTTGCTGCAGGTAGTTGGCGCTTATGTTAGGAAAAGTGCTTACTGTTGTTCAGGTTGTAAAGCAGGACGTGTAAGACCAGTGCTTATGCAAAACAGATTCAAGATCACCTTGAAGTATTAACTCAGCATGGCATCAATAGTCACTATCTGATATTTCAGAGGCTGCTGGGGCAAAAAAAACCCTACACGACCACCGCCAGCAACCAACCAAATGAAAAAAGAAAGGCAAACCAGAACTGGGAAAACATTCAAGTAAGTTGTGTTGAATATTCAAAGAGTCTGGAACACAGCTAGGAACCAGAAGCCATACCACGCTTGTGATTTGGAAAGAAATGAAGATGCTCAAGTCAAAAACCTAGATGTTGCTGCCTTCAAGCAGTGTTTAGCTATTCCCTTACTCTTCAGATACTAAAACTTCCGCTGATGCGAATTACAGACTTCACAAGGCGTGCAATGTGCGCATGTCTTTCCTGGATGCCCATGACCCTACTGTCAGCACCCTCAGGCTCAGATGGTATTCTTTAGTTGGGTGTTACTCTACCAGTCTCACACAGAACTCTCAGTGTTCTAAGCATCCTATTAGCCCTAGACAAAAAATGCAGTGTGAAGAAAAAAAGAGATGCTGATAGCCAATTACAGCCACAAAACACCAAGAAATGCTGTTCAAACCTCTCTATGCTTTATTTCCCCCTGTAGTGATTTGAATTAGGCATTCATACACCAGGAAGAATTATTGTTAAAACCGAGCTGTCAGATAAACTGCAGAGTGGTCTTTCTTTGCTTGTCATGAGATACACCTCACCTGTTAGATACCATGGTTCAGAAAGAGAGCCATGCATACAGATCTCAGGTGGAAGCCCAGCTCTAGGTGTCTTAACTGTCCCTGAGAGGTAAATCTAACTTCTTACTGGCTGGCAGCTTTGCATCCCAAGTTCTGCACAATCCTGCCTCCAGCTCTTTCCATGTCCTACCGTAGCGTTTAAAGTTCCCCCAGAGTGGGAAAAAGAGCAGTGCTTTCCAAGATCTGAGCACCTCTGCAAAACTAGCTTAATGAACCTCTAGCCAGAAACCACAACTCATGCGTGGACTTGATTTTTTTTTTCTCAAACCATCAGGAAAGAGGTCACTGAATTAACAGCAGCTGTTGATGTAGATAAAGCTGAAGGCAATTGCACAGTTGGCTATCCCTTCTATATAATTCTATATATCCCTTCTATATAATTCTATATATCCCTTCTATATCCCTTCTTGTAATTCTGTATTTGAATTCTGTAATTTAGAACCAGAATTAGGTTCTAAATTATCTGTACATGTACAAACTTGTATAAAGGTCTCACCCTAATAAAAATTAAGTTTCTCTTACCTGTTTGAAATTCGTTACAGCTTTTATAACTGGAGAAGCTGTCATTAAAAAAATGTCTTCTGATGGGAATTCCACAGCCAGCTTGTAAAGAAACAGAAATCATGGTGAGTGAATACAGTCATTAATAGACTTTGACTTTAAGACAATAAAATTATTGGTGAATAAGGTGAAAAGGATCTGGGGGTCCTGGTGGACAGCAAAATGACAATGAACAAGCAGTGTGCTCTTGTAGCCAGGAGAGCCAATGGGATCCTGGGCTGCAGAGGGAAGAGTGTGGCCAGCAGGTCAAGGGAGGTCATTCTCCCCCTCTGCTCTGCACTGGGGAGGCCACAACTGGAATCCTGCATCCAGTTCTGGGCTCCCCAGTTCAAGAGGGACAAGGAGCTACTGGAAAGAGTCCAGCGTAGGGCTACAAGGATGATTCAAGGACTGGAGCATCTCCCTGATGAGGAAAGGCTGAGAGAGCTGGGACTCTTTAGTCTGGAGAAGAGAAGGCTGAGGGGAGACCTTATTAATGCCTATAAGTCTCTAAAGGGTGGCTTGAAGGAGGAGGGAACCAGACTCTTTTCAGTAGTTGCCAGTGAGAGGACGAGGGGCAATGGGCACAAGTTGGAACATAAAGGGTTCCACTTGAATATGAGGAAAAACTTTTTCACGGTGAGGGTGACGGAGCCCTGGAACAGGCTGCCCAGGGAGGGTGTGGAGTCCCCTTCTTTGGAGATCTTCAAGACCCACCTGGATGCAGTCCTGAGTGGCATGATCTGACAAGCTCTGGGTGGTCCTGCTTTAGCAGGGGAATTGGACTAGATGCTCTGTATGGTCCCTTCCAACTCTAAAAAAATCAGTGAAATTCAGTGAAATTTTAAGACATTTTGTCAGATATTTCAAGATGTACTCAAAAAGTAACTAACGCTATCAGAATTTTTTTTGAGACAGACCTCATACAACAGTTGTTCTCAGATGCTGTCTAAGAGGTCTAACTACAAGACATGATATAACACATACCCAAAATGCAATATGATGGACAAGCGGTTTATTGCCATCATGTTCCATGGAATTGTACTTCATGAAAATAGGACTGAGAAAAATTGTGTTCAATCTTCCTCTTTTAATTAAAGCGTGCACCCAGCTATGGATGTGCAACACAAAAATCCTTCTAGAACACCAAGTGCCACTTCTAATGGACTCGGTGTATTAAAACATATTCTAGAAGACCGCTAATACCCACTGCTAACTGTGCTTCCTGCAGCACTAAGAGATGAGGAAAAGTAACAAGTCACTGCCATCACATAACGATCTGATTTGGGTTTTCCAGGAAAAAAAATAATGGTGAGAGAAAGGAAAAAGTATAAGAAAAGAGGTGTGAATTACAGCAGTAAGAGGCACATTCTGAGCTTTGGAACAAAACAAAGCCCAAACTCTGTGGCACTAACACAGCAGAAAGCATCCTCAACAAAACAATAAATTTTAGTCCCTTTTATAGCAATCTTAAAGACTGCAGACATCCAATATGATGCATTGGAAATAAATGCAAATCCTGCAAAACAGGATCATAGCAATTAGATGCAATTCTAAATTACCTCCATGAAAACATAAAGTCTCTGGGAATATTAAATATTGACCCAAATTTTACTCTTGCAAGCAAACAGGGACACACAAGAGCTTTAATTATGTGAAGTTTAATCAACTTTTAAAGGTTTACTTGTATTAACATAGCATTTAAGTGTCTGTAGTACCAGAGCCCACGTACTACATTAACCATGAATAAAAGGAAAAGACCCTCAAACTAATGAATGGTAGAGACAAACCAATTCCATAAATATAGAGAACAGTATCAATATTTTTTGTAATTTAGTCTGCATGTGGTTTATACAATGTCAGAAATGAAAAGATACCACCAGAGAACAGATGCACCTGAAACAGTCTTTACACTGCTTTGTAGTTTTAACAGTTAAAGTATTCTTCACTGAATTAATATAATACCTAAGGCAGACTTTATGTAGTTTATAAATGGTTAAACTGTAGAGAATTTTCTTTTAGAGAAGAAACGTAGCTATTTTAGCAACCTCCCCAAATGGTTTCAAGGACTTAGTAAGATAAGAAAGGATGTCTGTGGCCCTGAGAACATGGTGCCCTAACACAGGGATGCAATAAATATGGACATTGTCTGACAAACAGGTTGTAGCAGAGAGATCATCAGTTTTAATAAGCAATTAAGCAGGTAGAATGTTTTGCCAACATGAAAAGTGAGCCAAAGGACAGGTGAAGAAGATGAAGACTGAGGAAGAAACGACCCTCACTCAAAATGAGGACCACCAGAGGGCATGACTACACATGCCCAAAAGCTTATTATAATATGTAAACAAATTCTCAGAAATGTAATGAATATGCTAGTGTTTTCTTGGAATTACACTGAATATGTACACCTGTTGTGTATAAATTTAATTTGACAACAGAATTCAGTGTGCACAATAGGAGGAGCCATCTCTGGCGTTGCAATAAAGAATGCCTGCTTTCTAAACTTTACATTGAGTCTTAGAAAGTTTTATCTGCCGGTTTGCAGTAACAAATATCTACATAATTTTATTCCACGCTATAGATACAAAATTACCTCCAGTTACTGTTACTTTAAAAAAACCAGACACGCTGAAACCACGAAGAAGCAAAATTAGAACTTGAGCTATGGAAAGCTGAAGAGACGGCAGAGGCGTGCAGCCCTAAACGTGGGCCCACCCCATAAAAACAGAGCAATGTTTTTACAAAAAGGAGCAGATCGCAGCAGCCTTCACCTTAGTCACGGTACAATCCTTGCTGGCTACGAGGGATTCGGGTTTCTGACCTCCTGACCAGCAGAATGCCAGCTCTCTCATGTTACAGAGCTTTCATCCTCTTTTTATGAAGCCGTCGTAAACCCTTATCAGGTTAATCGCAGGAACAGTTCTGACCTCTTGAGGAATATTTCTACACACATAAAATATTATAGATAATATTTCTTCCCCGGGGGCTGTGTTGGGGGTTTATCTGTGTGGGGCTTGGTTTGGTTTGTGGGGTTTTTTTGTGGGTTTGGGTTTGTTTGGTTTTTTTTCTGTGGGACAAAAATATACGTAAAACATTAGGAGGGAGGAGGGGCTAGGACAGAGTAAGTAATTACGATATAAATGCGAATATTTACGCAATCCCTATATAAATCTAATGAACTGCTTCTAGAGAAATTTGTACGTTGGCCCTAAAAGCATTTATGCCTCGAAATATAATATTTATTTACACCTGAGCGGCCCCTACAGCCCTGCAGGTCGGTGTGTTCCCCTCACCCGCCCCTCACGGCTGGCGGGCCCGCAGGCCTCACCGCCCGCGCACCGCCCCCTCCCCCCAAGGGACGGCACCGGTACCGCCACGGGGCGGCAGAGCCCCCGCCGGCAGCCCAAAGGCCGAGCTCCGGCCTTAACGATCCCCCGAGAGAAGGGGGGGCCGAGACTGCCGTCGGGGGCCAACACGGCGCCCCCTCCCCGAAGCCCTCCTGAGGGAGGAGGGAGCAGAGCGGCGGCCCTTACCTTCTCCGCGCAGGTGACCCCTGCGATCCCTCCGCCCACCACCACGAACCGGCTCCACGCAAGGCCGGGGGCGGCCGCCATTTTCCCTCTCGCTCCGCAGCCACTGCCGGGTCGGGGCCGGCGCCGCTGCTCCGCCTTACGGTGCCCGGTAGCGCCCAAACCTCCTCCGCTGGCGGCCGGGCGCGCCCCCTCCCCGCGGCGCCAGGGCAGGGCCCGGCGGGGGGGTAGGGGTTGAGTCACCCCTCCCTGACCCGCCCCAAAACAGGTTTTACCCCTAAAAATAATTAATTAATTAATTAATTCATATCAATTTGGCGTTCAGTTTCTTTTCTTGCTGGTGCCCGAACGCTGTGGGAGGGGCGAAAGGGGACAGGTTTTGATGGTCTTTGTCAAGGGACCAAAGAGCCCAGATAGCAAATGATTAAGATAAAAATTAAGGAAAAACAAACAAACAACAACAACAAAAAAAACCAAACCCAAATTATATATTCATGCCTTTCTTCATTCCTGACCAGGAAAAAAAACACACATGGAAATGTGAGAGACTGTGTTTTCCCCAGGCCTGCCCCCTCTCCGCCCCCATCTGTTGATGGACACAATGCTAAAAGTTTAACTTAGGCCATAGTGTGAAGATGAACGTCGTGCTGATGTTCCTGAGATGCTGCTCTCCCTACCTGTAACCGCTCCCCCTGAGGTGTCGCCCTCAGGAGGCACCTGGTGCTTTCCAGCCAGTGGTGGGGATTCCTCTTCAGTCTTCTCCTTGGTCATGGGGGCAAATGACTTAGTGTCCTCTTTCTTTGTTTTTGAGACTTGGATAAGAAGTGTGGTACTTCCCATCCCACGGGGGACCCAGTGGAAGATGGGGAGGGACTCTTCACCAGGAAGCCTAGTGATAGGATGAAGGGCAATGGTTTTTAACTGGAAGAGGGTAGATTTGGATCAGATACTAGGAAGAAGTTCTTCCCTGTGAGGGTGGTGAGGCACTGGAACAGGTTGCCCAGAGAAATTGTGGCTGCCCCATCCCTGGAGATGTTCAAGACCAGGCTGGATGGGGCTTTGAGCAACCTGGTCTGGTGGAAGGTGTCCCTGCCCATGGCATGCCGGTTGGAACTCCATGATCTTTGAGGTCCCTTCCAACCCAAACCATTCTATGATTCTGTGATTCTACTGTAACATGAGAAGTGTGTCGAAGTAAAGAAATAAATGGACATGATAAACACCCAGCAATGCGTGTAGTCTGAGATGAGCTGCTTAAAATGAGTTGAAGCTTTTGCAGTCTGGTTTACCTTAGAGTTTTCAGTATATTAGTAAGTGCACTTTTCATTCCAACACTGACCTTCAATGCTTTTTTAACTCTCGGAGGAAGGGATAAGCTATAAAAAGATAAAACTACTCATTGTGTGCACCACAGAAAATGACACTATTTTATGGCCAGTGCCTGTTCAAACATTCCTGTAGCTATCAGGACATCAATCACAGTCTTCAAAACGGTCCCCTCCTAATGGCAGTTAGGTATAAATGCTTTCATTTTGTCTTTTTTTTAAAGAAGTAATTTTTTTTTTCCCCCTTGCATTAAAGGTAATTTCACAGTCCAGACAATTGCTGGCCGTCTTGGTCATAAACTAAATTCTGTTCTCTGAACACATCCCATTCCACTGTAAATTACCTGAGTAAATGACCTGACCTAAATGGTGCAAGAAATTGGGTAGACTTGCATCGTCAAGTACAAGAATACCTTCCAAGGGTTCTAGTCCTTAGTATACAATAAATGATGGGAGAAATTCTCATTTTTCTTACAGCGCTTGCTTGTGCAAACCAACAAAAGTTGTTACTGCCTCCATTCACGAAAAATGTAACAAGCAATTTCAGATACAGTGGGGCGAATTAAGAGTTTGAAAACACATGCTCACAATTAGAGCACACCTTTTTGGTTCTTAAGTGGCAGCAAGGGGATGAGAAGTGGAGATCTGTGAAAAATTTTCAAGATTAATGGCATGTAGTTTGTGTAGGGGATATAATCAGTAACCCATTGCAAATTCATTCCTGACACTTCTTACCAAGCTTAGTGCATATGCATGGGAAAGGAGTAGCAGAGGACGTGACACCACAGGAGTAAATGACAGTCATTAAGTACATTTTATTCTTTATTAAATGTGCTCTCTAAAAGTTTTCTGGGGAACCCTGAAAATCACTGTGTACCCATCATGGTGCCCATGTGACTCCTCTCAGTGCATGGTCACATAACCTTCAATGCATGGCTTTGCTTATCTGACATTCACAGAATGAATCACAGAATCACATGGGGTTGGAAGGGACCTCTGGGGATCATCGAGTCCAACCCCCTGCCAGAGCAGGTCCACCCAGAGCGGGTTGCACAGGAACGCGCCCAGGTGGGGTTTGAATGTCTCCAGAGAAAGAAGCTCCACCACATCCCTGGGCAGCCTCTTCCAGGGCTCTGCTACCCTCGAAGGAAAGAAGTTCCTCTTCATGTTTAGGTGGAACTTCTTATATTCAAGTTTGTGCCCATTTCCTCTTGTCCTCTCCCTGGGTGCCACTGAAAAAAGACCAACTCTGTCCTGTTGACACCCTCCCTTTAAGTAATTATAAGCAGATGAATAATGAATTAATGTACATAATATGACAATCTTTATAGAGATATGTACTATAAGGAATTCTTTTTCTTTCCCTGCCTTCTATTCTTCAAGTAGGTGGAAAAACTATTCAGGAAGTGAGAGCAGAGTGAGGCAAGAGATGCCCAGTCCACTGACTGAGTGATAAAGATGAACTGAAAATTATATACTATTGATTGGCCTCTGGAAAGGGATTGGAAAAGCGCTAATGTCTTCAAAGAGCTCAAAACATTTTACAGGCTGAGCGACATTAAAGATCCTAAGATTTTTTGTCAGTTGGTTAGTACTTGGTTCACATAAAGGCAGAAGATGTGATATTATTATTATTGTGGTTAATTGGAACGATTTTTAAAACAACAGACTTGCTTCTGGCAAAACACCTGAATGTTTTGGCACCAGGAGGTGCTGGTTCAGTATGATTCCAGTAAGACTCAAGACTCTGTAAAGTATTGCCTAAAATGACAGTTATTGGAGCTAACTGTAACAAAAAGAAGACAGGACAGATAATTTCACGTCCCTCCAGATACTGGGAGCCCCGAGTTATGCAGCATTGGACAGGTCTCCAGAGAGGGCACACCATACAGATCCCATTCATGGAAAGGTTACCCAACGCTGTGGTCTTTTGAGCTCTTACAAGGTTTTTTTTTAACAAGAAAACATTTGTATTCATTATTTCGACTGTCAGACACATGAGAACCCGCTGCTGCACCGTCAGATGAAGGCAAGGCCACACAGGGGGTGTAGTCGCTGGTACTGAGTGGGAGCTGATGACAGGCTCCTTGATTGCAATTAGCCGGCTAAATTAATCCCGTGGCCAAGGGATACGTGCATCCCACCCCAGCCCGAAGGCAGGTCAGGCTGGATGTGCAGCAGTCTACAGCACAGCAAAGGCTTGGGCCAACCCAGGTCAGCTGTGTCGTGGATCACTAACTCCTCGATGTACAATGATCTTCTGGACAGGATGACTAACTTCCACCCCTTGATCCACATACAATTGACCTTTCCTACGGGCACTGTAAATTGCAGATTATACCAGTAATTTTTTTTTTGGCTACAAGAAAGATTATTTTACAAAAAAAACCCCAACCCAATTACTAAAATTAATAATTTAAGAGTAATAAAACAAATATTCATTGTAAGAATAAGTGTGGGATAGCAGTCACCTTGGAGCTAGGACCATCAGAGGTGTCTTGCCATCAGGTTCCTCTCCTAGTCCCACGTATCCTAAGACAAGGTGGTGCACATTTCAGCAAACAGTCCAGTTATGGGATGTAGTAGACAAACAGGAGCTTTAGCGCTGCTGGAGGGCAGAGATGCCCAGCACTTCATATTCACTGGTACACAGCATGCAGAGATCCAAAGCAACACTGTGAGGCTCCACATAGCAGTTCTGTGTGACATAAAACAAAGACTTTTTTACATGCAGCATAACGGCAGTCTGGAGAATAAGTCTTATGAGGGAGCTGGGGTTGTTCATTCTGGAGAAAAGAAGGCTGAGGGGAGACCTTCTCACTCTCTACAACTCCCTGAAAGGAGGGTGTAGCCAAGGGGGGAGTCGGTCTCTTCTCCCAAGGAACAGGTGACAGGACAAGAGGAAATGGCTTGAAGTTGATTCAGGGGAGGTTCAGGTTGGATATCAGGAAAAATTTTTACACTGAAAGGGTTATTGCACATTGGAATAGGCTGCCCAGGGAAGTGGTTGAGGCACCATCCCTGAAGGTATTTAAAAGACAGGTTGACATAGTGCTTAGTGACATGGTTTAGTGATGGTTTTTATCAGAGTTGGGTTGATGGTTTGACTAGATGATCTTAAAGGTCCCTTCCAATCTAGACAATTCTATGATTGCATTAAATTCTTTACTGTGAGGATGGTGAGGCACTGGAACAGGTTACCCAGTGATGGAGCATCCACAACTTCCACATTCTCAAAGTGTTCAAGGCCAGGCTGGATGGGGCTTTGAGCAACCTGATCTAGTGGGGGGGTTGGAACTCGGTGATCTCTAAGGCCCTTTCCAACCTGAACCATTCTATGATTTAACAGCCCTATATGGCCAGTGAGAAAGTCTGATGGAGACTGGCAGCTAACAGTAGACTATGGTGGCCTAAATGAAGTCACACCACCACTGAGTGCTGCTGTGCCAGACATGCTAGAACTACAATATGAACTGGACTCAAAGGCAGCCAAGTGGTATGCCACAATTGACATTGCTAATGCATTTTTCTTTACCCCTTTAGGAGCAGAGTGCAGGTCACAGTTTGCTTTCACCTGGAGGGGTGTCCAGTACACCTGGAATCACCTGCCCCATGGGTGGAAACACAGTCCCACCATTTGCCGTGGACTGATCCAGACTGCACTGGAGAAAGGTGGAGCTCCAGAACACCTGCACTACATTGATGACATCATTGTGTGGGGTAATACAGCAAAAGAAGTTTTCAAGAAAGGTAAGAAAGTAATCAAGATTCTTCTGAAAGCAGGTTTTGCTGTAAAAAGAGGTA